ATACCGAGACATAACGTAACACATACATCATATACCGAGACATAACGTAACACATACATCCTATACCGACCTATAACGTATCACATACATCATATACCGAGACATAACGTAACACATACATCATATACCGAGACATAACATATCACGTACATCATATACCGAGACATAACGTAACACGTACATCATATACCGAGACATAACGTAACACATACATCATATACCGAGACATAACGTAACACATACATCATATACCGAGACATAACGTAACACATACATCATACACCGAGCCAAAACGTAACACATACATCATATACCGAGACATAATGTAACACATGCATCATATACCGAAACATAACGTAACACATACATCATATACCGAGACATAACGTAACACATACATCATATACCGAGACATAACGTAAAACATACATCATATACCGAGACATAACGTAACACATGCATCATATACCGAGACAAAACGTAACACATACATCATATACCGAGACATAACGTAACACATACATCATATACCGAGACATAACGTAACACATGCATCATATACCGAGACATAACGTAACACATACATCATATACCGAGACATAACGTAACACATACATCATATACCGAGACATAACGTAACACATACATCCTATACCGACCCATAACGTATCACATACATCACATACCAAGCCATAACGTAACACATACATCATATACCGAGACATAACGTAACACATACATCATATACCGAGACATAACGTAACACATACATCCTATACCGACCTATAACGTATCACATACATCATATACCGAGACATAACGTAACACATACATCATATACCGAGACATAACATATCACGTACATCATATACCGAGACATAACGTAACACGTACATCATATACCGAGACATAACGTAACACATACATCATATACCGAGACATAACGTAACACATACATCATATACCGAGACATAACGTAACACATACATCATACACCGAGCCAAAACGTAACACATACATCATATACCGAGACATAATGTAACACATGCATCATATACCGAAACATAACGTAACACATACATCATATACCGAGACATAACGTAACACATATATCATATACCGAGACATAACGTAACACATACATCATATACCGAGACATAACGTAACACATACATCATATACCGAGACATAACGTAACACATACATCATATACCGAGACATAACGTAACACATACATCATATACCGAGACATAACGTAACACATACATCATATACCGAGACATAACGTAACACATACATCATATACCGAGACATAACGTAACACATACATCATATACCAAGCCATAACGTAACACATACATCATATACCGAGACATAATGTAACACATACATCATATACCGAGACATAACGTAACACATACATCATAACGGAAAGTCGCTTTTCGAAAGATAGAAAAGATTAAGGTCCCAAGAATTAGAATAACAGCGCAAATTATTCAAACTCATAAATGCTCCTTGACGTGAATTTGGTATCACAATATTCAGATGAAAAATACAGAAGAATTATTGGTGCAAAGATTTGGTTATGACTTTGTTTAATAAAGATAAATCATATGTTTTACCATTTTGCTGCTGTCCGGACGTAGATCTTGAATTGATAATCCAGTTATTTTAAAAATTGAAGACAACAACATGATAAAACTTGGTTGTCTGTTTCTTGAACTAATGGTTTAGTATCTATACCTGGGCTTTTTTTCTAGTTACGTCTATTTAAGATATACAACACATTATATGGAGAAGACATGAAAGGTTTCCTTCGGTTGATATGTGGATATGACTGATGATAAAAGACATGAAAGAAACAGTTCATTTTTCAAAAAAGCATCGTTCATTGCCCTAGACGACTCCTCTTTCTGGCATTAAGGGACTTCATCTGCATGGAGAAATACTCAACCCGTTTTACGGTAACACACCGGCGAAGGCAACTGAAAAAAACGCTCCCTCTCTCAAATTCTATTCCAGACATGTTACACTTTTAAATTATTTTTTTGTTACCGAACTAGTAACAGGATATTTTTCAAGCGTTCCTGTAAATGTTGGCAAAGATCAAAATTAAAATTAAAAAAAAAAAAAAAAATATTACATGTTACTGGCCCGATAAGTTTAATGAACAGTAGAATATAAATATCACGTGATTATGTCTTATATCTTGATTAGATAGAATAACGACATAAGGATTCGACAACTGACAGATAAAATAATGACTCAGGAATTATACAGCGGGCAGATAAAATAAAGATACAGGGGTTTGATAGCTCTCATATAGAATAACGACACGGGCATTTGATAGCTGGCATATAGAATGAGGACCAAGGGATTCGACAACTGTCAGAGAGAAAAGCGGCAAAGGGATTCGACAGTTGGCTGATAAAATAATGACACAGGGATTTGATAGCTGTCCGATAAAATAACGACATGGGGATTCGACAGCTGTCAGATAAAGTAATGACAAAGGGGTTTGATAACTGGTAGATAAAGATAAAACAAAGACACTGGAATTTGACAGCTGTGAGATAAAATGACGACCAAAGGATTCGACAGCTGTCAGAGAGAATAGCGACATAGGATTTGATAGCTGTCATAAAATAACGACACAGGCATTTTATAAATGGCATATAAAATAACGACCAAGGGATTCGACAGCTGACAGATAAAGCAGCAACACAGGGATTTGACAGTTGTCAAATAAAGTAACGACCAGGTGATTGGACAATTGTCAGATAAAGTTACAACTCAGGTATTCGATAGCTGTCGGACAAAGTAACGACACAGGGATTCGAAAACTGTCAGTTAAAATAAGGACACTGGAATTTATCAGTTGTCAGATAAAATAACGATACAGGTATTCGAAAGCTGCCATATATGGCAACGACACGAGGTTCGATAGATGTTAGAGAAAGAAATGGCACAACGAACAAATGGAGACCCCGGAAAAAGTGTTCCGGAAGGTTGTGTGTTCTGCTTCATTGACGAATCTCACATTGTAAATCCCAGTCAATTCAAGCGAGCAATTTACTTGAAAATTAATAAAACATTTAGGTAAGGCAAAAAAATATGGTAGTTAACATAACAGGAATCAAAGAATAGGGAACTATGCCTAGGTACATGTGCGTATTATTACAAAAACTTGTGCCAGTGGCATTCTTCCTAAAACCGCCTTACAGTTTTAAGTGCATAGACAAGCTAAAAAGTTCGTTCATTTTCGATGGATTACTTCATTTTACCACCCGCAATAACTACGGTGCTTAAACTACGCAGTAACATGGGTACGTGAACTACCTTGAAAAAGATATTGAATTACATCTGGTACAAACAGGGACATTCACATACAGTAACAGGAATTGGGTCAAGACATTAATAGACATCCGACGAGGGAATGCAATATTCGGGCGACCTAGTTCTATCACATAACAAGTCCAATGATAAAATGTTTTCACCACAACGGTTGCATTGTGTATATGTCCATGTACGCCCAGTTTTCGTTTGGTAAGTTTGGGTATTCAGAGTGTGTGCTCTTTAATTACGTTTTGTAGTTCTCGACAAATACAAAGATTGTCTCTCACATTACAACGTACCATTAGGCACGGGTACTGTTTAAGACTGTTTATAAGTGTCAATATTCATACAAATTCAATAGTGGAATACTATACTATACTAATAGTGAAAGGGTAGACAAAAATGTGTAGTTCACCTGCGTTTTTCACCTTCCAGTACGAATATAGAAAAAGATAGTCTAGGTGGGTCATTTTGTAGCTCCTTAGTGATCAACTTTTCAAGAAGGTACTTTAAGATGGGTGTTGTATTCGATTAAAACATCAGAATATGTGTGGGCTCATTGAAAAGTTGGGGATAGGGTATTTAAAAAAATGAAAATTTCATCTTAAATTACAAACTCAATATTGGAGTAAACATTTGAGGTAATTTGTATCAGGTCATAAGAATCAAGTTGAAAAAAAACTGATTAAGTAGGTCAAAGTGACATAGTTCATGTCGTGTCTTAAAAAAGATACTACATTAACCAGCCTTATTAAAAATGGAATGGCAAAATGTTTGGTGATTGGCTCTCAAACAAGGTCACATTTTCAATTTTAAACAACTTTCTTGGAATGCTTAGTCTGTGTTTTATCAAATGGGGTAGATATCATGCGATGAAGGTGGAGATGAAAATCTAAAAAGAGAGAGAAAAAGAGAAAAAAAAAAACTTTGCAAAATGTCAGCTGATCACACGTCCCTTGGCCTAATTCATTCATGTCTTAAACGCTTGATTAGATCAGGCAATTTTTATGCTAGAATAATTTGAGATTGCCTTATGAGTTTAAAATCCATGATAGCTACCTAAAAAGACCATAGGAAAAGCATGAGCATATTTCATTTTTAGAGTAATGTTAATTATCAGGCATTCCCTTAACAGGATAGTGATTTTTAGCCGCCGCTTGCCAATACATTATGACAGTATTGGTCATGTTGTTGAATTCATAACTGATATTAAATTTCTTTATTTTAGTTGTTTTTGAAAAACTTAAAACACTGATATTAGTATTTACATTTACAAGACAATGACACTATATAATGTCATCCAGTGCTTGATAATTATGACGTCAGCATTTTTTCGAAGAAACTGTACTCCAGCAAAATGGCTGTTCCACTCAGCGGATTACACGGTCGATAATGAATCACAAGGAATGTAAATATGATAATTGAACTGTGGCATTAAGGGTAGTTATAAATGTCAGAGTTTTGCAGGGAAACATACCATACTTCGCTAAATGCTCTGAAAAATATAACGTCATCAATTTCATAACAAGACGCACAGTTCAATGCTAAGACAGAGAACCGAGATGAATCAAAACACAATAATGATATTTAGATCATAGTTCAGTTATTATCAAATAATGACATTCTATTATCCTTTTTATTGTCTATGGATTTGCTCTTTCTAGATGTGCTATACCTGGATACCCTAATGATACATACGCTATCCAGAGTCCTTCTCATCAAGCTCTGATCAATCGACACGTGCCTCCGTCAACGGATGAAACTCTCGATTATGTCAAGTGTGACCTGTATGACCGATCATACGATGGTGACGATAATTCTACCAACATGAGGACTTGTTCAGCTTGGGTCTACGACGAGAGCATATACATCAACACGTTCACATCACAGGTAAGCGTTGATTCCATCACAGGTAAGGTATGATTCCATCACAGGTAAGCATTGATTCCATCACAGGTAAGGTATGATTCCATCACCGGTAAGCAATCATTCCATCACCGGTAAGCAATGATTCCATCACCGGTAAGCATTGATTCCATCACAATTAAGAAATGATTCCATCACCGGTCCATCACAGGTAAGGTATGATTCCATCACCGGTAAGCAATCATTCCATCACCGGTAAGCAATGATTCCATCACCGGTAAGCATTGATTCCATCACAGGTAAGCAATGTTTCCATCACAGGTAAGCAATGTTCCATCACAGGTAAGCATGGATTCCATCACAGGTAAGCATGGATTCCATCACAATTAAGAAATGATTCCATCACAGGTAAGCAATGATTCCCTCGCCGGTAAGCAATGATTCCATCACCGGTAAGCATTGATTCCATCACAATTAAGAAATGATTTCATCACAGGTAAGCATTGATTCCATCACCGGTAAGCAATGATTCAATCACAGGTAAGCAATGATTTCATCACCGGTAAGCAATGATTCCATCACAATTAAGCAATCATTCCATCACCGGTAAGCAATGATTCAATCACAGGTAAGCATGGATTCCATCACCGGTAAGCAATGATTCCATCAACGGTAAGGTATGATTCCATCACCGGTAAGCAATCATTCCATCACCGGTAAGCAATGATTCCATCACCGGTAAGCAATCATTCCATCACCGGTAAGCAATCATTCCATCACCGGTAAGCAATGATTCCATCACAGGTAAGGTATGATTCCATTACCGGTAAGCAATCATTCCATCACCGGTAAGCAATGATTCCATCACCGGTAAGCATTGATTCAATCACAGGTAAGCATTGATTCAATCACAGGTAAGCAATGATTTCATCACAGGTAAGCAATGATTCCATCACAGGTAACCATTGATTCTATCACAGGTAAGCAATGTTTCCATCACAGGTAAGCAATGTTCCATCACAGGTAAGCATGGATTCCATCACAGGTAAGCATGGATTCCATCACAATTAAGAAATGATTCCATCACAGGTAAGCAATGATTCCCTCGCCGGTAAGCAATGATTCCATCACCGGTAAGCATTGATTCAATCACAGGTTAGCATTGATTCCATCACAGGTAAGCATTGATTCAATCACAGGTAAGCAATGATTTCATCACAGGTAAGCAATGATTCCATCACAGGTAACCATTGATTCCATCACAGGTAAGCAATGTTTCCATCACAGGTAAGCAATGTTCCATCACAGGTAAGCATGGATTCCATCACAGGTAAGCATGGATTCCATCACAATTAAGAAATGATTCCATCACAGGTAAGCAATGATTCCCTCGCCGGTAAGCAATGATTCCATCACAGGTAAGCAATGATTTCATCACCGGTAAGCAATGATTCCATCACAATTAAGCAATCATTCCATCACCGGTAAGCAATGATTCAATCACAGGTAAGCATGGATTCCATCACAATTAAGAAATGATTCCATCACCGTTAAGCAATGATTCCATCACCGGTAAGCAATGATTCCATCACCGGTAAGGTATGATTCCATCACCGGTAAGCAATCATTCCATCACCGGTAAGCAATGATTCCATCACCGGTAAGCAATCATTCCATCACCGGTAAGCAATGATTCCATCACCGGTAAGCAATGATTCCATCACAGGTAAGGTATGATTCCATTACCGGTAAGCAATCATTCCATCACCGGTAAGCAATGATTCCATCACCGGTAAGCATTGATTCCATCACAATTAAGAAATGATTCCATCACCGGTAAGCAATGATTCCATCACAGGTAAGCATGGATTCCATCACAGGTAAGCATGGATTCCATCACAATTAAGAAATGATTCCATCACCGGTAAGCAATGATTCCATCGCCGGTAAGCAATGATTCCATCACCGGTAAGCATTGATTCCATCACAATTAAGAAATTATTCCATCACAGGTAAGCATGGATTCCATCACAATTAAGAAATGATTCCATCACCGTTAAGCAATGATTCCATCACCAGTAAGCAATGATTCCATCACCGGTAAGCAATGATTCCATCACAGGTAAGGTATGATTCCATCACCGGTAAGCAATCATTCCATCACCGGTAAGCAATGATTCCATCACCGGTAAGCATTGATTCCATCACAATTAAGAAATGATTCCATCACCGGTAAGCAATGATTTCATCACAGGTAAGCATGGATTCCATCACAGGTAAGCATGGATTCCATCACAATTAAGAAATGATTCCATCACCGGTAAGCAATGATTCCATCGCCGGTAAGCAATGATTCCATCACCGGTAAGCAATGATTCCATCACAATTAAGAAATGATTTCATCACAGGTAACAATTGATTCCATCACAGGTAAGCAATGATTTCATCACCGGTAAGCAATGATTCCATCACAATTAAGCATTGATTCCATCACAATTAAGCACTGATTTCATCACAGGTAACCATTGATTCCATCACAGGTAAGCAATGATTCCATCACAGGTAAGCAAGTTTTCCATCACAGGTAAGCATTGATTCCATCACAGGTAAGAAATGATTCCATCACAGGTAAGCATTGATTCAATCACAGGTAAGCAATGATTTCATCACAGGTAAGCAATGTTCCATCACAATTAAGCATTGATTCCATCACAATTAAGCACTGATTTCATCACAGGTAAGCATTGATTCCATCACAGGTAAGCAATGATTCCATCACAGGTAAACAATTTTTCCATCACAGGTAAGCATTGATTCAATCACAGGTAAGCAACGATTCTATTACAGGTAAGCATTGATTCCATCACAATTAAGCACTGATTTCATCACAGGTAACCATTGATTCCATCACAGGTAAGCAATGATTCCATCACAGGTAAACAATTTTTCCATCACAGGTAAGCATTGATTCAATCACAGGTAAGCAATGATTCCATCACAGGTAAGCATTGATTCAATCACAGGTAAGCAATGATTTCATCACAGGTAACCATTGATTCCATCACAGGTAAGCAATGTTTCCATTACAGGTAAGCAATGTTCCATCACAATTAAGCATTGATTCCATCACAATTAAGAAATGATTCCATCACAGGTAAGCATTGATTCCATCACAGGTAAGCAATGATTCCATCACAGGTAAGCATTGATTCAATCACAGGTAAGCAATGATTTCATCACAGGTAAGCAATGATTCCATCACAGGTAACCATTGATTCCATCACAGGTAAGCAATGTTTCCATTACAGGTAAGCAATGTTCCATCACAATTAAGCACTGATTTCATCACAGGTAAGCATTGATTCCATCACAGGTAAGCAATGATTCCATCACAGGTAAACAATGATTCCATCACAGGTAAGCATTGATTCAATCACAGGTAAGCAACGATTCCATCACAGGTAAGCATTGATTCCATCACAATTAAGCACTGATTTCATCACAGGTAACCATTGATTCCATCACAGGTAAGCAATGATTCCATCACAGGTAAGCAATTTTTCCATCACAGGTAAGCATTGATTCAATCACAGGTAAGCAATGATTCCATCACAGGTAAGCATTGATTCAATCACAGGTAAGAAATGATTTCATCACAGGTAAGCAATGATTCCATCACAGGTAACCATTGATTCCATCACAGGTAAGCAATGTTTCCATTACAGGTAAGCAATGTTCCATCACAATTAAGCATTGATTCCATCACAATTAAGAAATGATTCCATCACAGGTAAGCATTGATTCCATCACAGGTAAGCAATGATTCCATCACAGGTAAGCATTGATTCCATCACAGGTAAGGATTGATTCCATTAGATAAATAGGTGACTCCATAAGTCCTTTATTTCACAATAGATATGATGATATTTATTGATTATCTTTATATAATATTTTCTGTTCAAACGAAGATAACAGGTTACAGAATAAAATCCTATTTTTTCCTTAATGAAATACGTGTCCTTATCACATAAAAGTGTGAAAACTTAATTAAAGATTAATCGTAATGTTCGTTGCCTACCTCGTTTGTTTGGACACGTGGTAATTTTGAAATTTATTTTCCTAGCAAAACATCGTCTGTGAGGACAAGCTAAGAACGTCCCATGCTCAGATGATTTTCTTCGGTGGTGTGTTTTTAGGTGCGATCATCTTGGGATCAGTGTCTGACATGTAAGTATAAGTTGTGAACAGTAAATACTTGTACAATATAGTAAGTAACTACAGTCAGTATATACTGTTCAGAAGTGAACGTAACAGTTAGGATCACCATTATGTACAGATGAGTTCAGCTTTTAGTTGTCTTCATTTGATGACGCCCGTTTCCCAAGGTAGATGTCAAATATTGTCTGAATGATTGTTTCTTGTTCTGTATAAAACGGTCACTTTGTTCTGTATAAAACGGTCAGCTTGTTCTGTATACAACAGTCAGCTCGTTCTGTATAAAATGGTCAGTTTGTTCTGTATAAAACGGTCAGCTTGTTCTGTATATAACGGTCACCTTGTTCTGTATAAAACAGTCAGCTCGTTCTGTATAAAACGGTCAGTTTGTTTTGTATAAAACGGTCAGCTCGTTCTGTACAAAACGGTCAGCTTGTTCTGTATATAACGGTCAGCTTGTTCTGTATAAAACAGTCAGCTCGTTCTGTATATAACGGTCAGCTTGTTCTGTATAAAATGGTCAGCTCGTTCTGTATAAAACGGTCAGCTCGTTCAGTCAGAGACACGGAGACACAACATCTAATCCAGCATTAACACAAAAGAAATATAGAACCAACACAAACCTTAAGATGTTAGTGTTATAAATCAAATATCGCTTATGCAAAACAATACCCGAAATCAGACGATTCTTAAGTTTATCATTAAAGCTACGTCGACCGTTCTGTACCTACTTCCCTCGATATGACCCTACATCACTCCGATGGCCGTTCTGTGCCTACTGCCCTCGATAAGACCCTACATCACTCCGATGGTCGTTCTGTACCTATTACCCTCGATATGACCCTACACCACTCCGATGACCGTTCTGTACCTACTACCTCGATATGACCCTACACCACTCCGATGACCGTTCTGTACCTACTACCTCGATATGACCCTACACCACTCCGATGACCGTTCTGTACCTACTGCCTCGATATGACCCTACACCACTCCGATGACCGTTCTGTACCTACTACCTCGATATGACCCTACACCACCCCGATGGTCGTTCTGTACCTACTACCTCGATATAACCCTACACCACTCCGATGACCGTTCTGTACCTACTATAGATAGGTTTATATTGAAAGGGATATAACTCGAATTGATGAATTATTCAGACAGACACAAGTTTATCTCTTATTATTTGTATCGAATAATCATTTTAACTTTCAAATTGTATTCCCATGATAATATCTTGGTAAAACTCTTAAACTCTATTTGTTTACAAAAAGTTTGTCATTAACTAGAAGAAGTAGAGTGATCGTAACGAAAGATCATATATATCGAAACTAGTCTACATGATTGATAACGGTTCTGATGACGTCATATCTAATATATCGAAACTAGTCTACATGATTGATAACGGTTCTGAATACGACACATCTTACATATCGAAACTAGTTTACGTTCTTGATAATGGTTCTGATGACGTCACATTCTTGATAACAGTCCTGATGACGTCACATCTAATACAATGTATATCGAATCTAGTCTACATTCTTGATAATGGTTCTGATAACGACATATTTAATGTACCGTTTAAAATTGGTAAACTTAGTACGATGTTGCTATGGTAAACAGTTAGTGTTATTACTCACTTACTTATTGTTAATCTCTTAAACTACATATTCTCCAACTATATTTCCTTACTTTCACCTTCTATGTGTAGTAGATTGTTTCCAGATCAACACAAAGTATTTCTTACACTGAGAGACACAAGCGTATTGCTTAACAGAAATATGCATGACCAATTAAAGAATTATATTGTCCATACAGCTGGTTCTATTTCTTTGTCAATCAAACGATATTGCACATTTTACTTGTTCTATTAAGTTTCCATTTGTTCGGACCATGATTTGATCTCCTTGAAATACATATCTGATCTAGTGTTACAGTGGATTTAGCAACAGCTATTTAAGTTCTGTTATATTCTAATGTAGTTTGTCAACTTCATTCAATTTCAATATGTGTCCGTAAAATATTTTACTAGAATTGGACGGAAGAAAACGCTGTGCCTCTCCTTTCTGATGCTATTTGGGACGACCTTAGGTTTAGCATGGGCTCCTGACTACATCACATTCTGTATACTGCGGTTTTTAGTAGGAGCGTCTTGTGCGGGGATGTTTATGACTGCCTTTGTCATTGGTATGTACCTTTTGTATAGATTATTGGAAATTCCTTAAGATAGTTGTCCTCTACTCTAAGTCATGTGATCATAATCTTCATAATATATATTTATAAAAAATGTAATTGACAATTAAAGACGTCTGTTATACACGCTTTTGAAATAGATTATTATGATATATTCTGTGCAACCTAGGTATGGAGCTGGTCGGTCCTTCCAAACGTGTTTATGCTGGTATCATTGTCGACTTTTTCTTCGCCATTGGAATGGTTGTCTTGGGAGGGATAGGCTATGCCTTCAGAGAGTGGAAGTACATCGAGATTACATGTTCCGCACCCATCGCCTTGTTCCTATTCTACTGGTGGTGCGTATCTCTCGGACTGCATTTCAGGAACTTACCATATGTAATACTTATACGTGTTTCTGGATACACTATAATTAATAAGGTGGATAAAACCAGAATCTGTGGATTATAATGCATATCTTACTTACCCAGCGCCACACAAGCGGTAAATGTTTGAAGAACTTGCTATATATTAATTATAAATGTACAACACCATTATATTTATGTATCAGACGCTAGCAAATTTACGATGTTAAATAAAATTCCACTTTTCCTGCTTAAATATCAGGCCACCTGAAGATTAGTTACCAGATGTTTTGACAGAATAAGTCAGACATGAGCGGTGTTTTTTTTATGTGATGTTATTGTACTAGTCAAACAGCTTAACAGGTCTTAATTTGGTTTAGGCTTGTTCCTGAGTCGCCAAGATGGCTAATCAGCCAAGGTAGAATTGATGAGGCCAATAAGATCATCCAGAAGGCGGCTAAAGTCAACAAGGTGACAATTCCAGAAAAGATCCTGACAGCCGACTCCATTGACGAACCGGAAGCTGGTCGTCTCTGGCATCTGTTTACATCACGTGTCCTCCTCATCAGGACAATGATCATATTCTTCAATTGGTAATTCTGATTAAGCAACTATTTTTTCAGTGTAATATTTTTGCATGAGCTCATTTTAAATATTGGCCGTAGTATCAGATAACTGTAACATCCAGGTTATTTTTTTCGTTTAAAATGATATTTTAGTTATATCAAAATACACAAAACAGGCTTTTAAAATATTGTTCTGCATTGTAACAATACATAAAATGAACATGAATTATCATATAATAGTTTTTTTTCTAACTTTGAGTAACTTACTTTTAGAAAGGAAGATATGTTCTGTCCTGAAGACTATGAGGAAGTATGGAAATTCCTTTTTTTTTTAAATTTAAGAACAACATAATGAGTATTGTTTATCAAAACTTTAAAGGTTGGTGGTCGTTATGGGCTACTACGGACTCTCTTTGAACACTGGGAATCTTGGGGGCGATTTCTACGCCAACTTCATGATATCTGGATTGGTCGAGTTTCCCGCCTATTTCCTTTGCCTCGTACTGCTTGACAGGGTGGGCAGACGACTTTTGCATGCTTCCTGCATGATCCTTGGTGGCATAGCTTGTATCATTACCCTCTTCCCCATGTTGTACGCTGACGAAAGTATGTTGGTCATCATTGTGAAGTGATATATTCTTTTAAAGCTATGTGTATTTGTTACGACTTCAAACCTATTATAATCTATATTATAATCAAATTGTAGTTCTATTTCTTACTCTGTCAGGACCACTTGCATATGAAAGCAGATTGTCTTTTTTTTGTATAAAACCAGCATGCTATTCTTAGTAAGATTTCACTTTATCTTACTTTATGCTTACATCACATCAATTCTTACTTGGAAAGTGTAAATTTCTAATGAAAATATCAGCTATTGATTTGATGCCTTTTTCAGTCAAATGAATTCAAGCTCATCTAAATAAAGCTCAGAGTGAAAATATGTGAAGCTTGAAGAAAACATATTGATATTTCCATATGTTATAACAGGTCTTCAGCCAATCACTATAACTCTGGCAATGTTGGGCAAAGTTGGAATTTCGGCTGCCTTTGCTATAATTTATGTGTGGTCAGCAGAGTTGTTCCCGACTGTGGTCAGGAATGCCGGAATGGGCGCTAGCTCCTCGTGCGCTCGTATAGGGGGCATGATTGCACCATACATTGCCGACCTGGTATGTAATATCAAAATCATTGTTTATTTCTATGTTATTCTGTTATATTTTTTTTTTACATTTAATCAGCATTACACTTTAAATAATCTAATACAATATCGTGTGAGTGTACCTTTACTAACCATCGGATATTTTACAACACGAGACTTACTACTGTTAGCGGAAACATGCATAGTTATGTTTTTAATTGATATTGATATTATCATAATTGACCAAAGCAATTAAGGTTAAATGAAACAATGAAGCCATTGATAATTAACGATTAAATACTAAACAAAACGTGATGTCTCCTGTTTCATCTCAAATGTATTCAATATATCATTTGGGCGATATCAATTCGTACTGAAAAAACTTATTTCCTAATTTTGTTGATGATGAAAATGCTACATTTTAAGCATTAACCTAGTCGCACTTGTTCTTCCAAAGTTTAATGTCTTGCTTTAAGCAATTATTAAGCAGCACCTGAAACTAAAGTGACTCTGAGCTATGTGACTATGACATTCGAGGTTTTAGGGTATTATCAAAACTTTTCCTGATAATCAATGAGTTTCAAAGATTTGAAATACAGTCTGTTAAATTTGTTATCTGAAATCTGCAATTTCGTGATACTAATGATTATTACATTGTTGTTTTTATTCTGCATTTTAATTTGTCAAGACACGTCTTCTATGATTGTTGCTGTTATTGCACTGTAAACAGGATAATTAATCATATTGTACCGCTTTGTTGTATTCTTAATCACAGGGGATTTCTATTTACGTCACGCATCTTTTTTAACCAATCAAAAAAAAAAGTATTTCTTCAGCGCCCATCATTTGTGATTGTAAACATGGAGGCAGATGGCCAGCAAGATGTCAAAGGACACGAATGCTTGTTAAATATTAGATGGATGGTTAAAACAATTCAAATGAAAAGAAATAAGAAAAATACTGCACTATTATAGGTTCGATATGAGAATTTATGAAGTACAAAAAGAAATAGACCGATTAGGGATTATAGTGCCATCATTGTAAAATATCATGACGTCATTCATTATTCAGCAAAATTTGTCCTTTTTGTTGGTAGAGCAAGGTTATCGACGGTAATCTCGGTCGTGCGATACCTCTTGTCATTTTCGGCGGAGCATCTGTTGTGGCCGGGATTCTGTCTCTTTGGTTACCGGAAACTAAAGACAGAGAACTTCCAGAGACTATGGAGGATGGAAAACTATTCGGGAAAAAGAAGTAAGTATTTATAAAAAATCTCATTTAAAAATCAGATATGTACCAAGTATCAACACATAACTAAACACGTGATGCAGAAAATTAAATTTCATACTATATCCGAATATTGCTAACAGACAGTCGGCCACAAATATCAAACGAAAACTGAGACTTGATTTGATCAAATTTGGCTAGAATAGCGAAGTTTTGCATCAAGGTCTTGGAGCTAAGTTGAACAGTACGGAACAGAGAGATGACAGCTTGTCCCCGTCAGTATGTCTTCAGACTAGTTTGAATATAACAGGTGTTCAAACATTTAGTACCGTTAGGAACAGGTTAAGCAAATATGATAGCCATTCTCCATTCTCTCCAGTAACAAATACTGTTTTAGCGTTCTGAAACTGTCCGGCAATGAAATCTCTGCAAGCTCTTTCAAATATGCCAAACACGTTCTGTTTAATTACAAAAAGTCTGTTACCTGCTGAGATAAATTTGAAGTCAATTTTATGACAGAGAGAGCGTCATTTATTATCTTAATATCCAGTCAAACTCTATTCATATTTAGACAGGTACAAATATAACAAGATATTTCGTGTGGCTTGCGGAAGGAAGTGGGTCTTATCTCTAGTTAACAGACTTTAACTTGTTCCTTTTTTACATAAGAAATGTTTCTGTAAGGTATATCCCATTTTACCATTGAGATTGTTTTTACAGATCGTCAGAGAAGTACAAACCAACGCTCGGTTTTGACAACAAGACATTTGAATCTGAGGCGGGCATTGCCAATGGTAAAAATGGAGTGTACACCATCACAAAGCTCTGAAGAAATTTCTATCAAAGGTCTTCCAGACAGTGACATCAAGTGGTCACAGAGTGACTTTTTGTAATCTAACGTATATCGACAGAGAAAAGAACTAACTTTAATGACGAAAACATTTATATATTCATACATTTATATATAATACGTTTGTTATATGATGTGATATTCACGTTTTCGTTCAAGTTGTGTTATGTATTTTGCAGATAACGTTTATGACTCAATGTTTTCTGTTTTCTTTGTTTGTAATTACTTGACTGATTCTTAAGTTAACAGTGTAAATCTAGCTTGGTGGCTATAAGTTCACAAGAAATTGATTTCATCGATATAGAAGAATCTTACATGTGTGTGACCCGCGATTTTATCAATATCAGGCAGTACTGTAAAAAGTATCGGAAAATGATGTCAGTTACAGGTAGTGGGATTTTTAGTATCGGGCATTAATGCTATTAATATCGGCAGTGAATCTTAGATCAAAGGGCGATAACTCTTTTACTATATAAAATTTTGTTAACGAAGAATGTCTTTACTATATTTTCATATTTAGCATATGAATTTTATACCGTTATACCCTTAATGATGAGTACATTTTTTTTCTTTACTTGAACCATTCCGTATTAACTCACATAGACATGTAAAGGGATTCCATTTACATAAATAATCCATTAATATATATGTATCAAATGCAGTTGATCCAGAAGCATGAGCGAGGTTCTCAGATTGTCCACAAGAATGTACAATAGTTATAATATTAGTAAATTTATTCACTCATTCTATATCTTATATCTTGGTAAATTTACTTTATCTAACCAAACTCACACTATTACATGTGTATTGTAAAGGAGCAGTAAAACCTGTACCAAATTGTGCAATAAAGCAAAGACAATTTGTTCTTTTGTAATGATATACTCCTAATGAGGTGCGAGTAAGGGAAATGACAAACAAATATACACCTTTGTATATGCTTATATGTAATAAATGTTTTAACAAAAACTGATCAACAAGATATTGTTAACATAAGCATAACATGCTTTATTTTCATAGCCAGATATAGAACAGGAAAACTGCTGTCATGTCGGTGGCAAAATTGATAAATGACCACACTGACCTGGCCATGGCCTTTGTCAGACTGATGATAGGTGGAAACATGTAACATGATCATTACCATTATCAGTTCTTGTCACTTGGTACTAAATCAACCACATTAACTGCTTTGTGTTCAAACTTCAGTTGCATAGTGTTCGGCCAGCTGTTTATATAGTCGTTTACATTGACGTGTTTCTTTATGTTGAATTAACTATTACCGTTGTCCTATTTCCTGTTCTTTAATGTTAGTTATAGTCAGACCAATAAGTCGCATTGTGTTTCTGTTCCGACCAATGCATGCAGGGTAACTTCAAAGCTACAAACATGTATAAAATAAAAACAAAGAAAAAAGTAAAGCCTGAATTATGAAGTTTATATGTCAAAGATTACATTTATCTGATAAAAATATCTGAAGACTAATTGCTGAGGTGGTAGTCTTGTATTAAAGAAGTAAAACGGGGGTATCTTTTTTTCAGTTCTATTATTCCCTGACAATTTTATGCTGTATACCTGAAGTCTAGTGACGTCATTTGGTCATGTCGAAGAGGTAGCACTGTAAAGTAAATAGGGCGAGTTACTTTTGCAAAATGGACAAAATTGCTTAAAGAGCATTGATTCAATACTTGCATAAGGTACCAAGACTTCTGATCAGTTGACCAGAAGCATATCAGGCGGACTTCGCATGCTAATCTGAACCTTTTAGGGGCAGATCCTTCTGCAGACAGTTGCAAGTATTGATGAAACGTGGGTCCATCATTTCACCTTAGGCGTCAAACAACTGCGCGCTGATTCAACCCTGGCAAAGAAGGCAAAGACTGTTCCATTAGCTGGAAAGATTTTGGCCTCGGTTTTCTGGGATTCTGATGGTATTCTGGTGGTAGATTATCAGCAAAATGACAAACAATCAATAGCACGTCATACATGCAGTGGAGGACTTTAAACGATCAAGAAAAGGACTTATTTTCAGGTGGCATTGAGATCCTTAAACATCGCTGGATAAAGTATATAGATACCGAAGGAGATTATATTGAACAATAATGCAATACGTCCGCTCAAGTTCAAACCATTAAATATGAGACTCACAACTTTTTAATCAGCCCCCTCATTTTAGTATGGATTCCAGTAGGACGAGACAATATCTGATTGCAGCGAGAATACACATCGTCACAATTTCTAGAATATGTCGGGACATGTCTTTGGACAAATATGTTCTTAGACGACTCTAAGTATTTACAAGACAGAAAAAGAGAATAAAGAACATGGATATTTCAATAATGACAATACGGTTTATTAATTTGACAACATGTGATAGTCCTAATTGTGTAACTTACTTTTCAGTATGCAACAACATGTGGTATATTATAAGGTCTGAATAAATAAGTGTAATATCTTATGGTAGACACTATACAGTCCGTGTCTAGAATACTCTTAACATCAATAATATCACCAAATATTAAGTGCGATAAAAAACATTTCGTTCCTTCCTGTCCAACTATAAAAGAACCATTATATACAAGCAAATCAACTTATCCAAAACGAAAGCAGTCTGGGTAAAGAATTCCAGCAAGATTTCTGACCTTACATTGTCTCTATATTTCTATGCGTACTTCGGTATCTCAGTCCGTTGCATAAACAACTTCCACCCTTTATTATTCTATATCGAGTCTACCTTAATCATAAGGAAACATGAACATAAGTAAAATATTCTATCGTTATCTTCTTCCATTGGCACAAGAATGTTACAAGACTTCGTAACCTTTGCAATGCCCTATACATAACACAAATACTTCAGATCAAATTGTGTAAAGTCTAACCTCTCTGTAAGCAAAATTGTTCTTTGTAGACCGGTGTCATTTCGGTTTAAATTTTCGCCGTGTGAAATTGAAATAAAACATCTATTCAAACCACCCACAGGGAACATGATAAACACACACAAACATAATATATCCTATCAGATTATTACAATTTATCATAATAAAATGCATAGCCTTTTCTATTACAGTTTAGTGAAAATGTATTATTATATTTTCGGTTGAATAGGTGTTAACAATTAGAAAAGAAAAGCTTCATATCGCAATCAATAAATTGATCGGCCATAGTACTATTAACCTAGGTGAGATATTACGTAATAGTAATTTGAACTTTTGAAAAATAAAAATTGAATAACCCAAATATCAACAGAACATGCCAACAGTAAACATTGAATGTTAATGGAAAGATAATGTATTATTAACTAAAACGGTTCAAAAAGTGGAAAAAAAAAAAAAAAAAGAAACGCGTGAACATAATCATAATCCAAGCTCAAATTCAATAAAACTAGGGCAAGATATGAACTAAAGATATTTCAGTTTAGTTGTCCTTACCTACAGGCCGCTGTCCTATACTTATCTTCGTAATACACAATATGTAAACAACATTGTGCTTTATTCCGAATAGTGAACCATATTGTTAGTACAAAATCAGAGAAATCATTTTGTGTTTCATATTTCACCGTGTAATTTAATTGAGGTCAACATTCGTGAGAGCTTTTGCGTATTTATACACGTTAGATATATTTCAAACTAGGATCTCAGGCAATGAGTTATTCACTTCATATATATTGATACTTTTTTTTAACAAATATTTTTTATTCTTGAGCGAAAACCTTAAAGAAGTTAAAGAAGTTCTCATGATTTAGTGAAGGACCTTTCTCTCGATTGTATATAACAATTAATAGGGGATTATTTTCTCAATGTAGATATCTGAAATATTAATAAAAATCTTTATGTAAATTGGAATGTACCACATAAATAGATATTGATTGACTTAAAACCGGTGTAAAAAGAAGAAATATAGAATATCTATCTGTGTTCTTGTTATTGATCATAATTCAGAATTGAAATATGATAAGTTTTTACTCCCATTGCAAACATGACTAATCGAAAGTAACGGAGTAGAAACCGGTAGGAAGTAGAAAATCTCGTGTTTATTTACAAGCCAATTTGTTAGGATTGTACAACTGACACAAAATTGAATAGCACCTTTAAACACAACTTATGATACATTGAACCAAAACAATGAATTAATATTAATGCACCTATATTAACATATCTTTTGTGTATGTATTATGTCATTAAAGAAAACGCTGTTTGAATCATATCAGTGACTTTCTCACTGTGTATATATTTTCTTTATCTATAGTGGGGGCTTCTTTTCTATCATTATCTATCGTCAGATATTTCTTATTTAATAAATATGTAAAAACAGTGAAGGGGATAAAGACATATTGTCGGCTGGTTAAATATCTACTGTCAATTACAAATGCTTCGAAAATGTCATAGCTGAATAATTTTTATTTTGTTACTGTTGGTTTACCTCACATTCTGACGTAACATCACAATTTGACCTTTATATCGAGGATAGGAAAGAGATACCACAGAACATTATTAAGAAATTACGTCATATGAATGTATATCTTTACGCGGTGACTAGGAGGTTTATCTGAAATATAAAGTATATTAGTAGTTAATGTATAGTATTGGAAATTGTTTGAATCTTTAAAGACAGACAAGCTGTATTATAAGAAAGTTCCACATCGGAACCTACATTCATACTGATATTTCAATTGTAACAATGACCTCAGTACTTCATCACCTAAGAAAAGAGAAATGATTATTCATGGACATGAATATCCACAAATATAAATCATCAGTTCAGTGTCCTTTATCACTACTGATTTTTATAGCAAGCATGATTAGATACAACGTATTATGTACAAGAAAATGTTCTCATTGGTCCAATGGCATAGAAACATATAATAGATGCAAGTCATTATCACGACTGGTACACTGGACGTTTGCGTGGCCAGACACCCTATATATTTAGGCCGATGTCCTGTCCCAGTATGTAGAATGAATTACATGTGAACAGTCATGCGCTTCCGGCTACTGAACAGTATGATTTGTAGTTCTTATATTATAACAACTTATTCTGTACGCCATTCCTCTTCGTGAAATTGCATTGCGTATCTCTTGATTATATTTATAATGTTGTATATAATATTGATAGTCTTGATTAAAAGCTATTGAATGTAATGTGATAAGGAATCAAACCAATATCAGAAGGCTGTATTGCCACTTCCTATTGTACCATAAAAACAATGCCGTAGAGGAAAAGTAATAAAAAATGAAGACACAAGATTATACAGGAAATCATATACGTTATACTATATATACAAAGAAAATCATTATGTTATTGTTTTGCAAATTTAATTACAATATATGGTAATTAAAGGTGTGACTAAAACAACTTTACGACATGTAAAATATAATTTGTAGCATTTTTCTGGGAATAATTTAATCCTGCAAGCAGTTCACAAACTTCATACTTAAAACATCCTTTATCAGATCAAACCGTATAAACAAGTAGTTTTCAATTTCGTTGACGTATTTTGTTTTCTGAAATCTTACAATATGTACCACAATTTGGTCGTTTCCATGATAATCTTTTAGTACATATTAAAGACATGTGCATTTCATAATTTCATGATTATTGGTTTAGCTGACATTGTCTTGACACCGTCAACTAGTTGACAAAATTTCCGATGTTTTCATCATTTTAGTATGTTGAACATATTTTCAGAACGCCTCTGTTAATGTCGTTATGATACATGTGGACTTACAAGCCTACCACCAAGTTATATATTCACCTGTGCTTGTGTACAAGAGGGCAATAATCTGATCGAAAGAGAGTAATCCCATGTTTATTGTCAGGGGGCGTGTCAAGATGCTACGGCCGTTGTGACTCACTTTGCTCATTTACAAGAACAGATTCATTTTAGTGTTCACCACTATAAGACGCTTGTGGTGTTTCCCGATTGTGTTTGAATGATTTATGCTTTGTGAGCGAATCTTTTTTTCTAATTCAATTCAATTGAGAAGAATATATAACAAAAATGAAGTTTGACGATATTCTTAAAACCATTGGCGAGTTTGGAAAGTATCAGAAGATACTGTACTTTTTATTATGTATGACATCAGTGAGTGCTGCATTACATATGGTGATTTCCGTGTTTCTAATGGGCACACCAACTCACAGGTAAGTGCATCGCCTTGTACATATAATGCTTTACATAACATGTTTTCTTATATCATGTAAAATCTCCATAAATATATGCACATTTCATTTAAAGTGTTTTGTCTTTCCGCTTATGATGATCTTAAAAGAAATTTCATTGCGCAAAATAAAATCCGTTCTTGCTTTCTTTCTATTTTTCTCATTGACCATATATGCCTAAGCGGTTCTGCCAATATTTGACTACAATAACATTCTAACAACGATCAACAGTATCCAATGGTAATACTGTCTTTAATGTCTCCTTCTGCCATTATGTGTTTACCTTGGCCTAGTACAGTTGTTGAAGGCCTTTGGTTAGAAAAGTAAGCGTTTCCATGACTTGTTTACTCAAGCAGAATGTACGACTATACTTGTAAACACTCGACAAATTATTCAAAAGTAGATAAACCAGGAACATGCCAAACAGAATATCATTAAATCTTACATCTTAAATGTGGCACGCAGAATCTTAAAATTAACATCTGTGTCACGTTTACAAATTGTTAGTGAACGGCATACAGGTATGCAATTAAGGTACGAATGTATCACCAGTAATAGAGGGTCCAGATTATTCGACAAGGCTAAAATTAATTAATGAAGATGTCATGCGTATGTTTATGAATGATACCCAGTAACACGAAGGACAAGAAACATTTATCTCATGAATTTTTATGAAATTATCTTTTCCTTAAAGATTGTACAAAAGACACAGGAGACCTTTTAATGCGAATTTAAGTTGGATACATTAGAACCAAACATGATTAAAACTGCGTTATACAGCTGTTTCTAGGACTAATCAGCGATAATCCATGCCTAAAATGTGGAGTCTAGGATCCATAGAAATGTCAAAATCTAGATGGGAAGGTGCACTAGCCTCATAATTCGATAATTTAAGCAGTTCATGGTCGAATTGAATACAAGTATTATAAAATGCATTTAATTCTGAAGGATTTCTTGTATAGATGTTATTTCATATTCGTATGTAAGTATGTTATCTAGGCGGTCTCTACACACAAATCCCTGCGACAATACATTGTTAGTTGGAGTTATGTAACTTTAATTTGATGCCGGTCGCTGAATGTTTAGTGATGTATTTCGTTTATTTTGTTACAGATTTTCATGAGAGAAATATGAAATATGTTTACTTTTGTTTCGCTAGGAATTAATATTGTCTTTTTTTCACAGTGTATTTCTTACAAAACATTTTTGATAATTTAATTTATTGGTAAGATTTCAGAATTTAATACCAAATCCCTTGAAAAAGATTTTTTTTTCACTATTTATCGACATATTTTATGATATTTATTGTTCATATTATCTTACGTCTTTCCACTCTTAACACGAATAGCATTTGAGATACCTAGAATTATGGCCATTGTCATACTGACATTTGACACCAAATCTATATGTTTTATCCTCCTGGATAGAAATTCGTATTTTCACAAACTTTGATACTTATATAATTGATACATTTCAGTACGTTCTAAGGTCGTTCTTCACAGAGCGATAATTTATTCATTCGTCGATAAAAAGGCTAGCACTTACAATATACGTAAGGTCGACTTCAATGTACTTCAGTAAACATGTATAAAAGATTAAATATATGTCTGATCACACATGGAATAAATTTGAAATTACAGATTATCTTTGCTTACAAGTTACGTCGACTGCATAGTTTTCGAAATCATTTCCTTCCATTCGATCTTTTTTTATATGGATCCGCCTCTAGAAATTGTCGAGTCAACTAAAAGGACAAAATTAAATGAACTCAATGCAAGTGCCAAACTGAATGTCAATATTAAATGTGTACGTCATATTTCTGTCTATTATTAAATACCTCTTTGTTTTTATTTCTCTTATATATATATATATATATATATATATGTGTGTGTGTGTGTGTGTGTGTGTGTGTGTGTGTGTGTGTGTGTGTGTGTGTGTGTGTGTGTGTGTGTGTGTGTGTGTGTGTGTGTGAGGGTGTGTGTTTGTTTGTGTGTATTTCGTATTACTGAATCCATTTATTTTTTGACAAGGTCAAAGTTAGAATTGTCCTCCTTAATCTAGTTGTATGATATACGAAAATTAAAAAAAGGCAGGCATACTTATTTTAAATCATACCTACCATTTAGTTTTTTTCGTGATAACGTGACAGTAGCATTACATAGATATGATAATCTACGTCCGGGTTATTAGCATTTACTGTGACAAAACATCTTGATACGCCGTAAACTTGTGAATAAACATGTTCACGTTTTGGATGGAGATGGAGATTTCTTTGATGAAGGTCCAAGGGAGATTTATTTTTACAAATAATTTAATTACAATATCGATAACTTCGATGAACAGCATATCGATATATGTCCGTTCAGAATGAATCATACAGGACGCACATGTGTCTCTAACAATGTTATAATATACATGTACACGTAGGAAAATATTCACCTTCCAGCGCCACACACACAACATATCAAACCAAATTTACATTTGACGCAAGATAGATCATCCAGTCACTTCTGAAGGGACGACATTACTGTCAGCAGCTATTCATTATATAGGTAACATATAGCTAATACAGAGACAGAGAAACCAAATAAACATCTGGGGAGTATATAAAAGGTGAAGTCAACCGCTACCTAAAACCTTGCCTGGTCCTTTATAGTTACTTTCAGATATATTGATAATGTTTTGTGTTTACATAGCAATTAATTCTTAGACAATGTACATCTAATGTCACCAGAATTGGAAATCAAGTAAGTCAAACACAAACTATGTCCCATCAGGCATTGAAATGTTACGATTCATTCTTTCTCACAAACTTCCGTTATGTTTTTACACGATGTTCTATGTGCATTTCATGTTTCTTAGATGTTATTTCTAAGGAGACGATAGATATGTCAAACACACGCACTTTTTAGATCATTTACAAGCGAAAGATAAAAGAAAATTTCACAAAACATAAGACATCAGAAAAGAAATTTGATTTTATAGGACATTGATGTAAGGAATATTGATGACAACTGCCGATCATGTACAGCGGACTCTAAAGGTCGTTGCATTAGATATATTCACATACTAAGTATAAAGGTTGTGTTCACCATCCAACATCAAACCAAAGCACGTAGCTTAATATATTCAGACACAGGAAGTAATGTATACATGTTTAGTAAACTTTATATTATACTGTTTATTAAGCCCTCAGGTAAATATAATAGTCTAAAACGGTGAAAAATAAATAGGGTTAATGTTTACATTGGAGTAGATTTATTACTTACATCCATGAGAAGATTAAACTATTTCCCTTATGTAAACAATACGAAATATTTAATCACACGCTGAATTAACTAAAGGTCATTTAATGTTGCCACATAAAAGGCGATTTTTGTGATTCTAAAATTTTCAAAATCATTCTGAAAGATTATACAAAGACATCCAGGTGAATAATACCTTTCAATTACATTGCATCATGTAGCGATTTCGTCCTGCTAGCACTGTAATTTTGCAATATAGCTCGACATTTAAAACCCAGAAAAAAATTCACCAAGATACAAAATGTATAATATATACTTGTATACATGGAAACAGATTTGTAGACATTTTTTACTGTTTAATGTTAAAAGCGGCATAGTGGGGAATTGTAGACCCATAAATTAACCCGTAAAGGAGACATTCGCCATACAATGACCCCGTGAAATATTTTTCTTGAAATTTTCCGTGCCAGTCACAATATACAACTGTTTTCTAATGGATTTCTAATGTAATTGCGGTCTGACAATGGAAAACTTTGTACGACTTACTACTATTTTACATGTACATAAAAACCTTGAGTCATATTTTCTCATATAACATACATTCTGTTTCTAATATTCATACTTTCCGAATTACTGTTAACCAATTTGTTTGTCCGTGACAACCAATATTACACAAACATTGCATAATGTTTTTTCAGGTCACAGTTAGTGACTGAATATACATAAAATAAAAGGATAGGAAAACATCACCTTTGTTAATGTATATCGGTTATGGATTTGACTTGTACATTACATAACCTTATATTTTCACATCTGGGGGTAATCTTTGCATTTCTCAAGAGAGGGACGACATGAAAATGAAGCATTATAATCTACAAACCTGATTCATTATTGCGATAATAATGCCAACATCAAAACAGATTAAAAAAAGAAATACACAATTTATTTTCCCCATTAATGGTAAATCTGATATGTTCCCAGTAAATTATGAGGAACAGGTAGGTAGAATTTGAAATCGGTCTGGTGCTGAAAATATCAACTGATGGCATTTCCAATAGTTGATAATGCGCCAACGGGCAGTGATGTGCTCTCGTGTCAGTTTCTTTCTCATATGAACGTTGAACGTATTGGCAACAAGAACCGAGCCTGGAACCATGAGGATACGAAACATTCAAACCCATAAAGCATATCAAATGTATAGAAATGTATTGAATAAAAGGGCTATTGCAACTCCCCGCCTAGGTTCTGACTTTTCTTCTATTGCTTTAGTGGGGCAGTGTCCGATGAAAATGTTAACATTTCTTTTGCCAATGTTTGGCATAATTCAGGCAATACCCTACTTTAGATGTTAACATTTCATTTGCCCACTGTGTGGCGTAATTCTGGCGATTCCCCACCTAAGGTATTATTTTTTCAAATAATTATGTCATTTAATTTTTATAATGGATTTTAGTTGGATGTTGGAAAATAAAATGTTGGAAATTAAAAAGTCATCTTTTAGTTAAAAAAGATGACTTCATTCAATTCAATTATGTGTTGAGTCATTTGTGGAGCAGGTATAAACAAAAGGGCTATTGCAACTCCCCATCTAGGTTCTGACTTTTCTTCCGATTACTTCAGATTTCCCTCAGTTGCCTACTATGCTACAATGTTAAGATAATTAGAATCACTAATGAGTCCAAAAAGGACGAAATAGCTGTACGATGCAGTTTGAAACATTGTTTGGCTCTACTGTACTGTGTAAACCTCTAACTTTGTATCTAAAGGTGCTATTCACTTGTGAGTCTTTTGTCCACTAATCGGAATCTACCTATCAGATGAGAAGATGATTTGTTAATGAAAATGTTTATACATGTTAGAGGCACAAATAAGGATGTCAACCAAGGATTGTCAATTGTTTTTATTTTGAACGAATCACAACAATATTAGGACACATAAACCTTGTAGATAATTACGTTATCAGAAATACGGTCTGAGGCTTTTAAGTAAACTTGTAACGTGTATACCGGTGTAGTATTGTTAAAGGAGACATACCGTTAAAGAACCGCAATTCACAGTAGGAAATGGAGGGTATCATCAAACAAGCAGAAGACACGTATCTTCCAGATATAAAACTAATCATTTTTCTCTTTAAATATCAGCAATTTAACTTTTTAAAGACAGAACATGGGTCAACGATTCTTTGTTTTTTTTTTTAAATAATTTAAATGAAAATCATTATATATAGTTAACATAAAATTCTATTTATTTCGTTAGACATTTCTTGACCGATTTTATAACCAAGCACAATTTATTGCAAATGTTTGTCTTAAATCCTTAGTCTTTAATGATATCTTTAATTATGTTTTTTTAAATTTATTATATATATATATATATACTTTTTCATCGATGTTTCCTTGCTCGTTTGTTACATCAGCTGTCTTGATAATGTTACCGTCTACCCAACCTCTATTGATGATACCTTTACCTTTAAACTGTGGCGTCTCAAAGTGTATTGTGATTTTTGTTCGTTTTTACCCTCTATATATCTACAAATCTTAGTAATTTTTTTAAAATGTTTTAAACCGTATGTTATGTTTTTATTTCTAGTTTTTGTCTGACTTCTCCTATCACAAATATCTGGGACCTCATTGAAGTCTCCTTCTATTTTCTTCATTCCTGTACCTTTTTCTTTAATGTTATTTAATGAAGATTTATAAAAAAAAAACCTTTCTTTCAGGAATACAGGTATTATTGAGCTGTATCCCTGTGGATATAGATTTACATTTGTCGGTGTTAACGTATTTTGTGTGTACCAGCTTGTGCGTCTTCTGTATTATTTTCAATAATAATATTTGCTTAGGTGCTACCTTCATGCTTCACTGGTCTCGGAACTACCTGTCACTCAAGGCTGCGAATATGTTTTACATCATGTGAACTTGAGCTCATAACTGCAAATATTGTCAGTTACTTTATATATAATCACAGCAAAATAATACCTTTGTAATCTATAATTCAATCAAACAACATTTACAATCATTACTGCCTTTCAGTCATTGATATTCTGCAAATTAATGCGGAGTTTGAAATCCATGACTATCCCTAATCAGCGGCAGATAACTCTCTGGTGGTATTTTCTCGATGTTTATGAATTGTAAGACCACCTCACTCTTACAAATGTAATACCATTTCGCAATTAAGACTATCTTTAAATAGTCTTTACAACCAGTTTAACATTGAATTTCACCTCACTGATAAGACCACTGACCTGTCACAGAGTTACATAGTATATTCAACCTCGTCCATCTGTCAGGTATTATCAAACTTGTTGAGGTGTTAACTTACTATTGACATATCTTTGTATGTCATTGAGTTTGAGCTTTGCCATACTCTCTATTCAGATCAACCCGCTAAGAAAAACTTGTTTTTGGCTGTTATCTTTGTGTTAAACATACCTGGGGGAAAGTCATTGTTTTGAAATCATGGCGTCTTTCAGAGTTAAGCAGTACTTCTACATATCATATCCTTTGAATGTTTTTGTTATTTAGGTTTGGGTACTCCACCGTCAGTCACAAAAATGTGATAACTCAAGTTTTTCCACTTTTTGTGACCTTCGTGTGGAATATTCATATATGCAGACATTAAAAAGCGTCTTATTACATCAAATGATAAGATGATATAAAATATGAGAGAGACATTTTCATTTGAAAATGTTTCCGTCATACATTTTATATGTTTTCGGTAGATAATGTATTATTTAAAATGTATACTATTCACAGATGTGCTATACCAGGGTACCCTAATGATACATATGCCATCCAAAGTCCCGGCCATGAGGTCTTGATAAATCGATTAGTACCATTGTCGACGGATGAAACCCTCGATTATGTCCAGTGTGATCTGTATGACAGGTCGCATGACGGAGAAGATAACTCTACCAAGCTGAAGGCCTGTTCAGCTTGGGTCTACGACAAAAGTGTCTTCATCAACACTTTCACATCAGAGGTAAGTTCTGTTTCGCTTGTATTCTCATATATAAAAACAACAAAGACATATCGGCAAGGCGGCTCCTGAAAAGAACTAGAAAATTCAGACAAGGTGTTTCTGAATGGAATGCGTTTTCTGCTTCATCGGCGTCACCGCCATGTAAATCTTTGTAAGTCCATGTCAGTAATGAAATCTTCTCCTTCATTACCTTTTCTTCGTATTGTTACAGTGTGGAAAAGATGAAAAATTTAATATTTAACATAAATTCTGTGAGAAAACAAAGTTAATCAACATGTCGGACTTACCTAATAAAATATTTGTTCTTTTCTGGTCTGGTCTGTCTTCATACCCTGATTACGTAATTGTGTGACCCATATACCTGAAACTTATCCCCTTCTTGTTATCCTATACAATTATTGTCATAGTAACGCTATTAATTTCTTTATCCCTTTTAGAGTAGGTCTACATGATTACATGCACAAATTCACAAATAAAAACCAACTCCATCATTCATTGGTTAAAAAAATACAAACAACACTTGTTTTGTAGATATATAAAGATTTTTGTTTTACAAAATGTTGTCATGTTGAGACCGGTGTGTACAAATTACATTATATATCTAAGGTTTTTATTTTGGTATGTTGCTAAAATGTTAGTTTTAAAAGCAGATGGTATTTGATTGAAAATTATGAAGCTTTAATTTTTCTTTTTTTCTAGCATGACATTGTTTGTGAAGACAAGTTAAAGACATCCCACGCTCAGATGATCTTCTTCGGTGGTGTGTTGGTAGGGGCAATAGGCTTGGGATCATTGTCCGACATGTATGTACCCCTTTTAAATGTAGCTTAAAACATATCAACTAGGTTTATATATGACGTAAAACATAGTTGCATAATTTTCTCCTATTTCATATTTTAACAAATTCTGAAAAAAATGTCTCATTATTGTTATCAAGTCTTCGAGATTTTATTGGATCCTAATGCACTTCATACAATCCGTCCTGGGTCAGTGTGTCTGTGTATTTATGTAACACACAACAGAAAGGGATAAGGGTTTGCTGCCATGTCTAAATATAAAGTGTCTCTTTATAGTGAATGGTTTTAACTAAGATAATGCCAGTGCGATGTACACTCAGTAATTTACATTTGTATTGCCTTGTTCGCCTTGAAGAGTATACGAAACCCTCAGAGAAGGTTTACACTGGATGTAACCCGATTCCTGACATGACCTATTTGGGCCGCGATGGCGACGTCAGTGAAAAGTCACACTTTATGGCCCCAGTTTAAGTCCCACGACCTTGGGGATGAACCGAGCACATAGACAAACACCTTGTCATGTATTGAAATTATAAATGGACAGCCGATTTGTAGAAATATTGCATTGAAATGTATTACTATGAGAGAAAATCTGTCCTTTATTTTCCGCTTTTGACTATATAACCAAAACCAAAATATGGACAACAAACAACAGTCTTCGATTTTACCTCAGCGGGATATTACTAATTGTGTATGTTTCATTGTGTTGATCTTAATGAAAAAAGAGAGGAAGTAAAACAATCAAATGCCAACAGAACTTGATACAATTTTGAAGAGTCGTAAGATGTATTATGATCCTGAAATTCACCGCGGATTATAAAAATTAATATGAAGGGAATCGTTTTTGTTTGTAGATATACTTTTGTTTAGAAAATGCAGCCGATCTCTATCTGTATTATAGCCGACCAGAATCAGACGCTTTTTAAACAACTTTTTGTTCGTCCGGCCTGTAACAAATTATTGATAATTCAATACCCTAAAACACGAAAATAAGATACGACTTATTTTCTTTATCATAAGCAATTGCATGTTTATCTATCAAAACTACCGGCTTAATTTAAGAATAGACGTTCATTTTTGAGGTCGGCTTGTTTTCGAGTTTTTATGGTATCTGAAGATCTACTTATGGGATCTATTTCTGTACATGGATGTGTCCTAGATGTGCATCCCACATTTTGAGCTTCATCAATTCAATCAAATGACTTTCAGTTGTCATTTTGCATTTTGATATTTCACATTTTAACTGCTTTTCGCGAAGAACTGCTAACTACTGAAGGGATCCTCTTGAAACTGTAGAGATCAGTTAAGTATGGACCAAAAGAAGCAGGCCCGTAATTTGCCCGTAGGTTCCATTGTTGTATACTCATTTTTTTTTTTTTTTTTCATTTGAGGACGTGCTATTTCTTACTTGGATCGACCATGATGTACATGGCGGATATCGCTGATTAAGCGGAAGACGTTACTCTTCCAAAACACCTGGTCATATTCTCGTTGTACTTTTCAGGATTCTCCGTGTAATTCTTCCTTTTGTTGAAACAATAGGACCTTGTTATTTAGAACTAGACAGGACCATGAAAAACCATAACCGAAATAACCAAGTATTCGATTAAAGTGAGTTCTTGTATCTTGTTTAAAGTTCGACAGGGACCGACGAAAAGCTTCGAAGTAAATGGAATCTTCGAGTTAAACGAGATCTAGATTCGACTGTGTTTGCCCTAGTTTTATTGAGAGTAGATTATAGTTGTGTTGACATGTTGGCATTTTCTTGTTAGTTTTTGCATTCAATTTCTGTTGGATGATACTATACAGCTTAATCTATCTATCATATACCTACAAATTTAACCTGGATTTGACGCTACACCACTTCTCACACTGTCCTATACCTACAAATCTAGCCTCGATTTGACGCTACACCACTTCACACACTGTCCTATACCTATAAATCTAGCCTCGATTTGACGCTACACCACTTCACACACTGTCCTATACCTACAAATCTAGCCTCGATTTGACGCTACACTACTTCACACACCGTCCTATACCTACAAATCTAGCCTCGATTTGACGCTACCCCACTTCACACACTGTCCTATAACTATAAATCTAGCCTCGATTTGACGCTACACCACTTTACACACCGTCCTATACCTACAAATCTAGCCTCGATTTGACGCTACACCACTTCACACACTGTCCTATAACTATAAATCTAGCCTCGATTTGACGCTACACCACTTCACACACTGTCCTATACCTACAAATCTAGCCTCGATTTGACGCTACTCAACTTCACACACTGTCCTATACCTACAAATCTAGCCTCGATTTGACGCTACTCAACTTCACACACACTATAAATCTAGCCTCGATTTGACGCTACACCACTTTACACACTGTCCTATACCTATAAATCTTACCTCGATTTGACGCTACACCACTTTACACACTGTCCTATAACTACAAACCTAACCTCGACTTGAAGCTACACCACTTCATACCGACCATCCTTCATCTTTATACCTCACCGCCAAATCGGGATAAACCTACGAGACGGCGCTTCTTAACCATACAGCCATTCCTATTATTCGTTCCTGACTCTGTTGAACGTTACAATACAAAAATCTTCATATATACCTTACTTTATAAGTTCGATCCAATGTCCACAGCCCAAATGCTTAGCCTTCACGTGGCCCTTTTAAAATTGTTGGGTACTGATTTTACATTCAAATAAATTGATATACCATACATTGACACTGTTTTTAGGTCACATGAGACAAAGTCTCGTGATGACCTATTCTAATACCATTCATCCGGCGTCGTGCGTCCGTAAACAATTTAACACTTTCGACTTCGTCTCAAAAAACCCTGATCTGATTTCAATGAAAGTTTGCAGAAACCTTCACTGACCAAAGATGAATCAAAATGGTGAATTATACAGTCCCCACCCACAGGGGCCTAAGGGGCGGGGCAAAAAGTGGTCAAATTGACTTGGATTTCAAAACTTCTCAAGACCCAGCTATGGTAGAATCAAATACTCTTCATGAATGAAAGCATCTTAAGATGCTTTATCAAAATTATGAATTTCATGGCCGGAGGGACCCACATTTCCCCGTGGGAAGGGGGTTAAGTTTACTATAGTTTATATTGGAAAACTAGATTTTTTGGTATAATTTGCTTAATTTCAAATTCAAACTTAGTTAGAATTATGAGTAAAAGATGAAGGCTTGACGGTTTGCCCATTTAAATCCTGACTGACATCCAGGGTCTGATGGGCGAGGCCAAAAGGGGTCAAAATTACTTAAATTTCCTTCTCAATACCCAGGTATGGTAGAATAAAATTCTCCTCATGAATAGAAGCATCTTAATGCACTTTGATTACTAAAATGGGTCTCCCATTTCTATCTGGGGAGGAATATGTGTTTTTTAAAACTTTACTGTAATTTTCATTTCATAGAATAATTGCATTTTTGACCATAATGTTTGTTATCTAACACTGGAAATAACTATTGAGAGTTATCAGTATAGGATGACAATTTTGATGGCATGCATGTTCTGATACTGGCTTAATATATTCATTGTAACAATTTCTGTTTATATTCTTTATATTCAATATTGGTTATCTTAGGTGACCGTCAAGGCCGCTAGGCCCTTGTTTCTGATCTTCGTGACTTTCAGACATAGCGTAACCTGTCACCGAAAGTTCTCACGAAATGTTTCCGCAAATGCATACAATACTGTTAAAACATCATTAAAATGCAAAACTGCTATTTGACATGTAAAAGTATACTCATATTTTTTAAAATTTCTATATGTACTCGATACCACTGAACACGGACGAGGACATGTAACTCAATCTTTCAAAGGTTATATTGACATGGCAATACGATTTCTTTCATTGACTGGTTCTTAATGAAAACTAATCAAATATTCTTTGTCAGCACAGTGAGGCTATTTATAAATGGGGACAGGTTACCTCTTACTGGGGTAGCTGTTTCTCTTCTATCAAATATGGGCGATACTTGATAATAAACTTTGGTTTTTTGTAATAGGTGTACCAACGACAAAGTAATAGTTTTGACACAATATGAACTATGTGTTGGTGTAGCAGTCTATTAATCCAACCATCTATTAGAGAATCTCAATATATTTAGCACGCAAGTTGAACATCCAAACATTTAATTAAAAATCAAGCATTTATTTGAATTTGATCTATTAACCAATAACCAATTAGCCAAAAAAACCATATTTGGGAAAAAATAAACCTTTATTGTAGGAACATGAATGCCTGCATATTTGAAGATCTGAAACACATTTTTTGAAAAAAAGTTCATAATTTCCGAAATCATGGAACATTTTGCTTACATAGTACTATACGTGCACTTAATTCTATCAAAAACCTTATTTTATTGCTTTCAACATCCGGTAAAAAATCTTCTAAGTGAAATGATTGAAAATAGAAGTTGTACACACATAAGGGTAATTACATACTGCAAAACTACCTGCTTATACAACTGCGACAGGGACAGCCAGATGTGGGCTTTGAACACGTCGATTATATTTTCGGTCACTTATGATAATTTTTATTTATTTTTTATTTCATATATAAATAAATTTTAGTGTTGGTAGAATTATTTTTTTTAATATACTTATTTTTAACAGAAAGTCGATTTTAAAAAATCAGTTTAAATTGGACACTTGAAGGGAGGGAACTCCTGATTGTTACTGCCTGCAGTTCTGTCAATCATCAGAGATAAAGTAATTCAATCTTTGTTGTTTCCTTTCATACTGAATCTTGATTTTACGCACATGTGTTTCAGTAAATGAAGACAACAAAGACTCCAGCATTTCCAAATGCAAATTTTCATGAGGCTACTTTTTAGGGATACACTTACAAACTATGGTTTTCCGTTTCGTGATGGATCAAAATAAGTCTCCTCTCTCATTTCACCATCTGGGGTTTATACATTATTTCTACTTTCTAACTACGTTCCAGTTAAGTTACACTTCACTTTTGAGCATCAATTTAAATCTAGAATATTATTGGTTCTGCTGACTGTTTGACAGTTGGTTTCGAAAGCGTTTGCTGTGGATCAGGTTTTCAGTATGATTTGACCTGGTGCCTCTTACTAAACAGACAAGTTACCATATACATTGTCATGGTTATTGAAAAAGATCGAAAAGATGTGTAGTATCTAAAGATTCCGATTTTTTTTTTACTTTTTCAAACAGAATAGGACGGAAAAAGACACTGTACATCTCCTTTCTACTATTACTTGGATCAACCCTAGGTGTAGCATGGGCTCCAGATTTCATTACATTCTGTGTTCTACGGTTCCTGGTAGGAACTTCCTGTGCTGGGATGTTCATGACTGCTTTTGTTATTGGTATGTTTCGTACACCATTGTAATTCTACAATTATGCAATCACAGCATTTAGCAAAAAGATCGAAAGTAAAACTATATATAATATTTTTGAGTTTATCATAACTCTCCATAATCTAACATGTTATAGTACATAAACGTTTCATTTCAATATTAAGTAAGCATCAATTATCTATGGAATTCAGCCAAGGAGAAGACTTACATTGTCGTTTGTGTTCGTGTCTGCAGAAAGTATTTACCACATTCAATGTAATTACTTATTAATATTTGTTGTTATAATGCTAATTGTATTGTTTGTATATCTTAGGTATGGAGCTGGTTGGTCCATCCAAGCGTGTATGGGCTGGTATTGTCATCGAATATTTCTTCGCTTTGGGACTTGTCATCCTGGGAGGGGTAGGCTACGCCTTCAAAGAGTGGAAGTACATTGAGATCACATGCGCCGCTCCTGGTGCTCTTTTCCTCTTGTATTGGTGGTAAGATTATCGATATAATGCCTTTCATATGAAAAGTCTTTAATATCATATATATCTGAATGAAAAGTATATATTGCTTTTGTAATGTTTTCTCCCTCTAAAGGAACACTCTAAATTAGATTTTATCACAATGCTGACTATTTGACCAGTAAAGTATTTACCATTCAACAAGTAAGCATACAAGGAGATATTATCGTTCTAAAGAAAGCCATTTCAATTCAGTAATAATGGCAACGAAAACTATGATCTTCAGTATCTATGTAATATCCCAATCATTTGTACATAAATTTATTACTGATGTAACCATGCCAAAGTCCTGTTAAAACAATACTTCATGCCGTACATGCATGCCACGTTTAAATCTGTACACATCTACTTGTGACGGTCTTCTAAAATGATTAGATATACAAAATTAAGAAATGTATTGAATTAAGGGACAATGTATATTCAATATAGATTTTGAGATTTTTAATCGATTACTTTGAATTTTCCTCAGTCGCCTCTTAGACTTCAAGATTTAGGCCCTTACCGTCTATGACAAATCCTGGAGGGACGAAACAGCTGTGTGATGCAGTTTGATTCATTCATTAGCTTGTATTTGTATTAAATCGTATTAATTACTTGAGTTTCTCTTGTACTTTCCTCGTGATAATCTTTGTCAAGTGGTCAAGTGTGCGTTGTTTCCCGGTGTATCCATTCCTTCATCTCATGATTTTTAAAGTTACTGATTATGTAAACGCTTGAGATCATTTAAATTATGTTAAGGTTTATTCCCGAGTCACCGAGATGGTTGATCAGTCAAGGCAAAATTGAGGAGGCTAACAAGATCATCCAGAAGGCGGCTAAAGTCAACAAGGTGACAATTCCAGAGAAGATCCTCACAGCCGACTCCATTGAGGAACCGGAAGCTGGTCGTCTCTGGCATCTGTTTACGTCACGTGTTCTTCTTATCAGGACACTGATCATATTTTTCAATTGGTACATCAGTTCCTATATTTGCATGTACCAGTTATATAAACTTTTTTATTTCCTTAAAACCATTTTCCTCATCTTGTTTTGACTTTAAAAAGTCATGCATATCATGGATATTTGGCATCGTAGAAAATTAAACAAGTCTTATATTGCATTTTTTGTGTTATTTTAGAACACGTATTTGACAAAAAACCCTAAAGTACTTGTATGTCGGTAAAGCAAATAGTTAATAAGACAGTGAGCAATACTAATTCTTAATGTTTATAGGAACATTCTTTTTGAATTGAGATCATGTTCATTTCTGTTTTTTCAAGATCCATTCTAGATTATGAACTAAAATGCATGAGATGAATTTAATGATTTAGTGTACATAGGAATAACTGCGTTGATTAGTACTAGGACGAAATACATGTAGTCTTTCAACCTTTTTATAAACCATTATTATTTAAGAGAGTAAGAAGTGTACATCGCCTTGGCATGTTGTAGATACATTAATTGCACTTTCACCAGATTCTATGTAGAGATGATATTGCTAACTGACATATCTTTGATGTGGGTCTGATATATTTGAACTCCTTAATGGAATGGAAAGTGTATATTGAATATTTTAATGATCATTTGCAGGGCGGTGGTGAGTATGGTTTACTATGGACTTTCTTTGAACACTGGAAACCTTGGAGGCGATTTCTACGTCAACTTCTTATTGTCTGGCCTTGTCGAGTTTCCTGCCTATACCCTGTGCCTGGTGCTGCTCGACCGGGTGGGCAGACGGATACTGCATGCGGCATGTATGATAGTTGGTGGCATTGCTTGTATTGTTACGCTCTTCCCAATGTTGTACGCCGATGAAAGTAAGTTAATCACCCTTTGTATTCATGATTGCGAACGAATAGTGAAAATAACATTGTTATTATTTATGATTTTATTAGCATGTTGGTATTTTCTTCATGTTTTCCTCATCCTTGAAATATGTAATTGATACGATAGAAAGGTCGTTTGGATGGGGGTGGCAGTGGTGGCAGTGGTAATGCACACGCCTTTCACCTAGATGTCTGGTTTTAATCCCCGGAACGGACGTGAAAAGGCATGGGATCACCAGCCTGACCACGTAGTTTTTCCATGGATAGTGCGGTTTCCTCCCACAGTGAGACACCTTGCGCGCATCCATCCAACACAACAGGAGTGATTAGTATAAGCTGAAATAACTTGTTTCGCAATTGTCGTAAAACAGATAAAGTTTAATAATAAAAGAAAGATAATTTGATTCTTCTGGTTTTGGTAATTAACTAACGTTTAGTAATACCTTAAGTTGAATTTTCTGCTATCGCTTATTATCTATCTGCATTCATGCAACATATCTGGTACTGTTGGTAATGCTTGGGTGAGTTTAAACCACCACGTATGGGTAACTCTACCTCTTTGAAGCCTCTTATGACTTTAAAATTTAGGCCCTTATCATCACTGACGAGTCCTGGAAAAACGTAACAGCTGTATGATGCAGTTTAATTCTTTTTCTGGCTGTGCCTGCGTAACATTTGTTCAAACTCAGATACATCTTAAGTTCAGATACATCTTCGTTTGTGTCATAAACATGAATCGCTTGTAAATATATAAACATGGATATAGGATAGTGGATAACAATTATTATATGGAAGTCACTAGCGTTCTTTCATAAAATGTAGAGGGCCTCGTGTAGAATAATGGATGTATGTCTGAATATCACACCACTACAGGTCTCCAGCCAATCACAGTTACCCTGGCTATGTTGGGCAAGGTTGGAGCGGCTGCTGCCTTCGCAATTATATATGTATGGTCAGCTGAGTTATATCCAACTGTGGTCAGGAATGCAGGCATGGGTGCCAGCTCTTCGTGCGCTCGTATTGGGGGCATGATAGCTCCATATATTGCCGATTTGGTATGTCGTTTTCACAATCACAATGATCACACTCTTTAATTGTTATTGCTTATTTCATTGACGTGTATAATCAACCAGGACTTTATCTGCTTCAACTTAACTTGATATGACATATAGCCAATTATTCCGTTTGTATTTTGTTTACCTCATCATCATTGTGAGCCCAAGAGTGGTGATAAATAACCAAGAGTCCTTCCCATTTGTTAACAGAGCAAGGTGATTGAGGGTAATCTAGGACGTGCGGTGCCTCTGGTGGTGTTCGGAGCGGCGTCCGTTGTGGCTGGGATTCTGTCACTCTGGTTACCAGAAACTAACAACAAAGATCTCCCTGAATCTCTTGAAGACGGTAGACGATTCGGTAAAAAAGGGTAAGTATAGATAACGTATCTTATTCCAATGTAGTTTCTGAAAAAGCATTTTCTCTAACATATAATTGAAAGGTTGGCGATGGTACCTTACAGATTGGATTCGATATTTGGATACTGTCGACATATTGATATTAAAGAAAGAAAAAATAATAAAACACAACCATCACCATCGACAGATGATTTCGAGATGGTGAATCTTCACAATTGTCTTTTTCCAAATTTTATTTATTTTCTTTGTAACCTATCTAACTTGAAAAGGTAGTGAGGTATATATGAATCAAGTATATGTCTTTGTTGATGAAATCATACTTATACATGCATATGGTTCGAAAGGAACGACTAATTGATTTTAACGTCTATGAAATGTCTTTGTAGCTCTTCAGAAAAATACGAACCAAAGCTCGATTTTGACAACAAGGCATTTGATTCTGAGGCTGGCATCGCAAACGGTGCAAATGGAGGATATATCGGCACCAAGCTATGAATAAAAAGTTGGAGATATATAATCCCGGCCGATGATATCGCATGATTATAACACCGACAACGGACAGTGATGTGCATTTACATAGCACAACGAATTGGCATAATAGTGTTCCTGTCTGTCATATTGCATGTTGAACCACATACTCTAAAATCTTTATGAGTGTATAAACTGTCTACCTTTTAAAGCTAAGAATCTTTCTACCAATAAGATGCATTATTCAATTTGACTTGTTTTAGAATAAATTATAAAACAAAAATAAAAAGAAAAAGAAAAAAAAAACACATTTGGTTTTGAAAACAATCATGTATCACTTTCAAAAAACAAAACAAAAAAAGAAAAGAAAAATGTGGGTTCGTTGTGCACAAGTCTGGTTTACTGACTTTTTGATGCGTTTAAATGTGTGTATAATGGCTGTTTTACGAACATTAATGCCACATCAATTACCAAACAACTAGGCATCCATTAAGTAATTATTTGATTCAGGGTGTCAAGTAGTTTCATTTAATTTTATTGACAATCTTTCTGGAAAAAATCTTTGACATACAACTTACCTTTCTGTAGATACTGTTGGCAGAAGTCTGAGTTGGATAAATTGACAATAAAATCACCCTAATTTTGACGATAATAATAACATAGTTATATACTCTAAGGTTGTAAAATCGTCCAATACTGTGTTTTTATAATTGTGCATTTTTAGATATATTTTACATGTGATGTTTTATTTAATTAAGATATATATATATATACTTTGAATTCCATTGGTTTAATCCTTCTCCTACTATAAAGTGACATATCTATTTCTATACTTCAATAATAAAACACATGTACATAATTTACAGTTATCCTAAGTTTGAAGTATTATATTGGGGATGGTAGGCTTGTAGATATGGTCATATAACCGTATATTTTTAAAGCATGTCTATTTTTACGAAGTTAGTGAACCTTTCATAATCACAAATAAAAAATAGATGACAAAATCGCAAAGATGCTCATGGTTTCTTTCTTTTCGTGTGAACACACGAGTAATATATCTTTAGAGTTAACGCACCTACATGCACCTGGACAATCTCTAGACGCGGACATTTCTATAATACTATTCAGTATATAAATTCCTTGTCAAGTGTTATTCAAATATCCAGCTGATGTTGTCTATTCTAAGGTATGCAAAGTCTCCAAAAGAGATGATGAAATCGCAAAAATAAAAAAAAAATTGAATTTGCAAAAATTGCCAAAGGTACATTTTGAGAATTTCCGTATAAATTCCCGACATAAGGTATCTGAAAGGCAAATGGCTAAAATGTTGTATTAAACATCTTATCTTATTCAATAAGAATTTAGATATATTTACCAAGTACATATTAATAAACAAAATGTTGCAATCAATTTCAGTTTTATCTTACAACTTGATTGAAATATACCTATTCAACGCAAAGTCAGTCTTCTTCTTTTGATTAATCTTACAGTCAAAGGGAAGGTACTCCTCTGCTTTATGTAAAACGTTACATTTAAGTACATGAGGGCTGAGAAAAATTAAATATGTAGAACCATATATTAAGGCAATAAGGTGATAACTCCTATCACACACAGGTTGTTACTTGTTGCTTCTCACTACCAAATCGAATGATGCATTCAACTAGTTTTCAATTAGCTCTTAATTCATTCGATAAGGGCAATTATAAATATCTCAAATATAACAAACGAATATCAAAAATGCTACTTTCGTGATTGAATTATGATTTCGTTCACGTGGTGCTTTCTTTGTTGTTTCCGTATAACTACTTCAGACAAGAGTCCATTGTTAAACAGTGTACATGAGATTCATGGTATATCAATATTTCAATAAAGAAACATATCTCTACCAATCGATTTGACATTGTTATTTCTAACCATACAACACACATTCCATCATATAAAAATAATTGAGCTTTTCATCTCACTACACACATACATTTGCTTGTAACTAGTGTTCCTCTTTGTTACACGTACTGCAACTTGTGAACTGTTACTTAATGATACATCGTGCTACAACCCCATCCCGCTCCATTTTCCGCTCTATATTGGTCCGCAATTTTTATTTTCCACGGGGTCACACTTTGTACCTAGCCCATGGCATAACCTCACACGGTACGGTGAGTTGCATCATATATTGTAAATCAGATGGTACATCTAATTTGTCCATTTCGTTTCTCGGTCGTGTGGAAGAAGCTTTGTCATCTGTTCTGGTCGCATCACTTTTTCATCCATGCTAATATCCCTTTTTCTGTTTTTATATGCATCGCTGAAACCAGGATACATTTGTATTTTAAACAAAGCCTTTTTTTAAATCACATGGATTCTATTAAAGACATACAAATGAATATCGCTTTCCAAATGATATAAGAGTTAAATTAAGGTAAAATGAATGACACTGCATCATACAGCTGTTTCATCCTTCTCGGACACGTCAGTGTCCGAGAAGCACATAACATTTTTAAGCCTATGAGGCGATTAAGCAAGGAAATGTCGAAACCTAGATGTCTATTTATATTATGACGAGGAAAAAATAGCCAATCGACTCATCCATACCACATGTAATACATGGTTTAGAAAGGTGTCACCCAATCATTATTATGTTTCGTATTTCTTACTGTATTTGAATTAAGGTATTGATAAAGAATACATATCTACATTGGAATTAGTCTTTCCTAACCAAATCTTCTATCACCACCACCATGACAAAGGCTATAAAAATACTTACGTGCCAAACAGTATACCATCCTCAATGGTCTCTGGCAGATCTTCGTTTAGTGTCTCCGGCAAGAACAGAGAAAGACAACCGGCAATGATTGCAGTCGCTCCAAAAAATATGAGAGGGAACGCTTTTCCGAATCTTCCGCCAATCATGTTCCCCTGTAATAAATTGTGAAGATGAATAACGTGTATCATAGTATCCATGGAATGATACGTACAGCTTTCTGTAACTCAAGTTTCTTTATTTTTATTTTCTTCTGAGGGGTTTTCGTTGTGGTTTCGCACATGGTATTCGTGGCTAGCGTTAACTAGCTATAGCAACTGTCATTGAAATACAAAGTAGTTTACCTAGATTTAATGGAAGATCAATGGTGGAACGAAATGTAAATTTCCGTAATACAATGTTAAAATGGCACTGAATATAATTTTTTATATAGGATTTCAAAAAAGTTTGGGTTGTTTTTATTTCATGCAGATGTTATACCTCAGAAAATAAGGAAAAGGCAAAGCCTAAAAATAGCAAAGAACTATTGCATTGTATATGTATCTAAAATATTCTTAATCCTAAAATCTTGTCTTCTAAAGGGCTTTGCTCGTACGCAAGTAACGCCAAAAAGCTACGCTCTTATTATGTTAAAGAAGAAAAAATGTGATTAATCTACCGAGATTTGCTTATATGAACTGGTTAATACAAGAGATTGAATTTAGTATGAAGAATACTATGTGTCAGAAATGAGAAAAGTTTTATTGCTTCGTAAATTGTTTTAAAACTTGACCTGATTGGCTTTCAAATCGGTAAAACCGACCTGCATGGAAATACGTTTGTTTAGCATATGTCATCATGCGATTGTTCAGGCGGATAAGATTTGCTTGCAAACAAATAATTAAAACATAAAAAAACCTTCAAACACCACAATTGGGTTCCTACTCATGAGGTTGGTATTTTGTTTTTTGCAATGTAAGCAAACACGAAAAAGGCAAATAATTTATCAACTTACTGCATCAGCAATATATGGCGCCGCTATATTTCCAATGCGCCCTACACATGAACTTGCTCCAAGGGCGGAGTTTCGGACAACCGTAGGAAACAGTTCCGCAGAATATATATAGATGATCGCAAAGGCTGCAGCAGCTCCTAGTTTACCAATCATAGCTAGCGTTGTAGTGAGCGCTTGCAACTCTGAAAAATAAGATGACATACAACTTCTTAATACTCGTATATATTGCATATGAATAGTAAAATAGTTCAAAGTACCAAGAAATGATTAAGACATGTTAAATGTAGTATTACAAAATAAATAAATAAGCTATGTATTGAATAAGATTGTAATTTCGAATTTTAACATCTGTTTTACTATCGAGTATTTTGTTTTACCTTTGCCACCGAATAATATTGTGAAAATCGTGCTGAGACAAGTGGTGCCGCCTACTATCATGCAAATGCAGTGAAGACGTTTCCTACCAATCCGGTCGAGGAACAGTAAGACCACCGTGTACCCTGGGAACTCAACCAATCCCGAAAGGAAGAAGTTCAAGTAAAAGTTTCCTCCAAGGTTTCCAGAATTTAAAGACAGTCCGTAGTATATCATAGTCACTACAGTCCTAAAAAACACATGTTATCAACAAAATTAAAATATTTTCTGCTGTCAAGGGTAAAAAGTACAAATACATACAGCTTTGGACATATGGTTTGGTATTTTAACTTACCATGAAGTACCAAGGTGAATGCTCTTTTTCAAGAATACTTAAAATTTCCATAATCAAGTAACACCCTCTTGTCAGTATTTATAAATATTCAAGCGCTACAATAGTTAAGGAACATAAGAACAGTCTAGTAGGAGGAAAACGTTCTTTGTGAAACAGGGCCTATCATCTCTTTGAGTGATTTTCCCCACAAGTCGTTACCAGTTGAAGAAGATTATAAGGGTCCTGATGAGAAGTATTCGGTTGGTGAAGAGTTGGAGGAAGTTTCCAGTGGGCTTTGGAACCTCGTCAATGTCTTTATCAAACAGATTGTCAGGCAGTTTGACCTTGTTGATCCGCTCAGCTTTACGAAGCACTGCCTCTGCCTCCTCAAACCGCTTCTTGGATATCAACCATCGGGGCGACTCCGGTAGTAACCTACGGCATAAAAATATTAATGTTAAGAAATTGTGAAAAGGGGTTGTTAAGGCATAATTATATGTTTTAAGGTCTTGGTAACACACTGCATGGAAATTCGAAACCATTTCCATAGATACATCAAAATTGAACAACGCACATCAAATTAAAATGATGTGATTTTACTTACCACCAGTAAGACAAATTTAAGGCGAATGGGAGAGCACAAATGATGACAAGGTATTGCCAGTACCGAACGAAGTATCCGACAAATGAGAGGCTCACCAGACCAATAGCGAAGGCATATTCAATGACAATTCCAGCCCATATCCGTTTCGATGGACCAACTAACTCCACACCTGTGCATGAAAGTTAATAATTTGGGTAAGCCAAATAACTGATTTACATAAAGACAACTGTAGCGGGATTTTGTTACACAAGGGAACTCTTCGGCTATATGTTTGGAATGCTAGAGCATATATATGTTGTTTATTGATAGAAAAACATAGGAGAGAATGCCGAGATGTAAATCGAAACTGAACAAAATATGAAAAAATGACTTACACAGAGATTCATGAGAAATAAGGCGGAAAATACGAGCAAGTATTCCAGAAGAATAAATGTTTTCTGCCTCATCGATGACACCCTTCATGTAAATCTTGGTTAATCCATGTAAGTAGTGTCACATTCCCACATTAGAATAAGGTAAAAAAAAATAAAAATAACGGACCCAACGAGCATCAGCACGTCCAACTACATATCGCATAAATAAGAATAGAAAAGAAAAGCATATTTTCGGGTATACGCTAAAGAGAAGATGCTTGAATAACATCAGGAAAGACAGTAACTCTGAATGAATAATTTGTGCATTTAACAGGAGTAATCAGACTCTAACATATTTTCCCTTTGAGAGTAACCAAAGTACTGATTTGCGGATTTGCGCCAACTAGTGTTAGTGACACCCCTTACACTTTTTATAGAGTTATACTCACCTATCACAAACCCTGTGAGAAATAGCCCTTGTGACGCCGCTCCAACTATCAAATTGATGATCGAAAATCCGATATAATTTGGTGCGAATGCCAGACCAAGAGACGATGCCAACATCAAGACAACTGAGAGATAGAAGGTCTTCTTACGGCCAAAACTAGATTTAGAAAATATATCATACATCACATTCAAATTTCATATTCAATAACAGTGTTTCACTTAATGTAAAGAAAAATAAATCGCACATGTCATTTTCAATTTCGGGCATAGTTGACAAAAAGAAGAGTTATGATATGTTCACTTAATCTTTAAAATGTTTTTATTTCCATAAACTGTAGTTTCCACAATGTCATTGATAATTTACAGTTGTGATGACAATTAAATAAAGCACCCTTATAAGACGAACCCTTACAATACAATGCTTTAAACGGCATTGAATGATCTGTAAGTTTCTAGAATCTGGTGTGTGTTTCCGTACGTACAGCAACCACACTTGCATGTTAAGACAATGGGAGACAGAAGAGAGCTGATGTAAAATAAAAAATAGTCAAGAAATAAAACTGATAATCATATGAACATCTTGTAGACTTAGGAAGTCAATTCATTAACATCTGCCCTGGAGAATTTGTCGTGCAACAATTTTACCGTAAGATACTATCTTCATTATTTGATACAACTTACAAGTCAGACATTTGTCCGAAAACGAAGGCTCCCACAAATACTCCAGCGTAGAAGAGCGACTTTGTGATAGAGGCCTGATAGGCATTGTCACACATAACATCAAACTGTAACGTAAAGTTGGATAAATCAGTACATAATAGCAGCTACACCACCATCAAATGCTGTTATGGCCAGAATGTGATACTCTTAGACCGAATATTCCGTGTCTGATGATTTCTCAATTTTCGACTTTCCATTTTTAAACACATTAGGGGCAATTATAATGTTTGTGAGTAATACACACACAAGTGCTGCTTTAAGTGGCAAATCATTTTTTAAATGCAGGGTACCACAGTTTAGTCCGCGTTATTGTTATGTTCGCTGTATTGCTTGATGGCATCCGGCACCAAACACAATTGAGACACTGCAAGGAGTACGACAAGATTTATTTTTGCAACAGGAAAAATCAGTTTTGCTTACTAAAACTGATAGTTCCTAACTTATGGCCAAATGTATATATCATAAATATGCAATGTATCCAGAGGAAAACCATATATGAACAATATGCTAAAGGAATATATGATTTGTATACAATGCTGTTGTTGATGAACACGCTTACTTCGGTACATGTCTTTCGGAAAATATAATCTTGCTTATTTCAACTTTCTTCAACTAGATCGCCTTCATATTTAATGCTAGTTTAATTTTCAGACTTTGAAGATCCATTAAATAATGATACCGTGTATTTACTTATTTAAAATGTGTCCTAATTTGACCTCGGGTAATATACGAGGCGCGTGGTTCCCCGCTCTTTACCCATGGCGATTGTTTCTCAGGAAGTTGAATAAAGACCGGCCAGCACTGACGCAGTATTGTGCTTTCATCCCGTATGTTGTTCAATGAGGGAACAACCATCTATTACTGGATACCCCCTCCCCCTAACTGCGCATACAATGACTCTGGATGTTCGAGAGTGATAAGCACAGCAAATAAACTAATTTCTTAATCGAAAGGTCAAATGAACTAAATGTAGGTTTCCATATGACAGGATGTACAGATTGATATACGCCTCCTCTTGTTAAGATATCAGTCTCCTCACTAAGCTATAGCGTAAACTAATGTTTGTTGACAGATGAACGATAACAACTGACCGGTGTTGACATTTAGATTGACCCTTTACTCACTGTTTGGAAAGATGCGACTTAACAGCTTATCAATATAGTGGCTAAGTAAACAAGAGTTCAGATTGTGTGTACAACTTGACCTTAAGTGATATTTTTATGTTTATCCAACAGAATTATTTCAAGTGGGCAATGACTTTGACTCAAGTTTCGAAAAAGGAACAATAATAACTAATAGTGGCTATCAAGTTTTACTACAAGTAGACTAAGTAGACAAGTAGAAGTATCCTTCAGTCTATATATCTTATATTAACATAATCAATTAACTTTCTTCTCAGATTGATTATTGTTGATACGTGATGTTGAACTTGTTACCGAGTACATCATACCCATGTTGTTTATTAATACGCAATATCGTCATATAATTGTAAAAAGAACGACTTTACCATATTCGTGTATAAAAATCCAAGAAATAGAAATCCAAAAGGAATAATGTTCAAATATTTATCCAATATTTTCTGCGTATGTTTAAAAATTCGATGTGTAATATCTTTAAATATATATACATTTCAAGTTAAAATAAGACATTTTCTATCTTTAATATATGGCAAAAATGTATGTGCAATATTTTAAATATAGTTGCCGTAAACAATATATGTTTTAAATTTAATAATTGCATTTACGATCATATTTGTGACGACGGCAATTCAACACGGCTTTGCCCTCTGTGGGACGTTCAACTGAGAATTTCATACAAAAATGTCCAAGATATACCCTGATCAACGTCGGTGTTATATATCTATACTTTAGAGTATCAGATTCACAAAGCAATTACTCTGTACGATTAAAATGTACCATTTAGTACATAACTGCACGAGAGTGTAATTAGTGAATTTATATACTTTCAAACGAAACAAGAGAGTAACCAAATGAAGCAATATTTTGTAACAATATATTTTTATCATAAACTATTCAAGACATTGCTCATAGCTTTTTTCATTATGTACAGATATTAAGTATTGCATTTTTAAAATAAAATTATTTTTATATATATCTATAATACATTGAACACACACTTATTTTTCGAATGTGTAAAGAAAGACAATGCATATATATTGTGAGTTTTAAACAAATGAATTCTTTTTCTTTTTTAATATTTTGATATTGAAACGCCATAAAATCCCACATTTAAATTCTAATTTTGATATTTGGTTAAGTCTTTTGAAACATGTGATTAAATGCAGAACAAAACTGTTCAAAACCATGCCGTGTCATTATCAGTTAAATATTGGATCCATATAATCTTTTTATAATCTTTTTAATTGTAACAGTAAAGAATATCTGTCGAACTGTTGATAGAAGTACTGTAGTTGTCAGAGGTACAATGGAGCGAATGCGTTAGGATATTATGTCATTAAACCTTATGTAAGAAGAAATAGATTAAATTCAGAAACAAATATCTAAGCGTATTATTTTAAACTATTTCTTACCCATTGCTCATATACTCATAAGATTTTTTTGAAAATATCGATCACCAATATCTCTATTGTTTAACTTTGTATCTAAAAGTGATTCATTAGTGTTTTATTGTAAATTGTTTTGTGTTATTTAATTTTAAGGATTGATATGACTTGTGATCAATTTTCTGCGTTATTTCACCTTTGATGTAACTGTCTCGTCGAACACATCATAGCTGTATACCCAAGATGTACACTTGATAAGCGTGGCGTTGATTGGTTGGCTAGAGTTATCAAACGTTACGGAGCTTGAATTGAAGGAATAAAGATGACACTTGTCGTACGTTAGCAACTTGTCTGTGGATGGTGGAATGTAGTTACTTATTAATTCCTGGTGGGCGTCATTCTGGATTTCAAAGGTGTCGTTCTCTAAGCCAGGTATCTTACATCTGAAACAAGAAATCGTAACTCAAGAGATATTATCAACGCTTCTAGCAAATAACTTAATCTTATATTCGACCTTGTATTTCCTAAACAGCTGTAATGATTTTTTTCGCGCCCGTCAAATTCTTGATATGTGGTGTTGTTAGGCACCGGAACAAACATGCATGCTACATTTGCCATTTAAGATCAGGCACGGGCACCTGGCGATGATGTTGGAACGTTCTTCAAAACGATTGTTCCATATTTACCAGCATTGTGATGTGAGTAATATTATTTTCAGGTGAGGACATATGCATACATGACGCAAGATTCAAAACGCCTGCTGGATAGACCTAGTGACGACAGAAAGCATAGCTTTTATCAGCTACTAACAGCTTGTGGTTAAAGAAAAGGGCCGACAAATCCTCTTAACAAACCGCCATTCTCTAATCTTTAACTTTAAGAGGCCATCTTCTGATACATATCACAGAGTACTATCTCTAGCTGTACAACAACGTTATCAATTCCACAAAGAAATGACCTTCAAACCAAAGTTGGCAGAAGATTGTAAATGTAAGACAAGGGCAAGCTGTCCCATATTTTGTCATGTTACATATGTTCTTAACATTTTGTCACATGGAATAGCATTATGATGAACCATCTATTCTATGGTTTCCGACTCAAAGGACAAATTACAGATGTGAAGCCCTTAGTTGCTTATTTTTAAACGGCATAGTGGAAAACATCGAATCACCATGCTAAGTTAGGAGAAAACAGCAGAAAACTAAAACTTATACATTAGGAATCCTAGATAGAGCAAACATCGGTAAACATGACAGTTTAGAAAGAAGAAGTGGCACCATTTGCATCAAACATTTCATAATATCTAAACAAAGGCAGTTACACATGGAACATTTTTATTATCACGTGTTGTACATCTTGTCTAATATACATTTATATTTACCGTTGTATTTTAAAACCTTCTTAACTGTCAGTATCATTATATGTAGTGATATGGCGTTATCGATGACAGGTTCACTCTTAACGTCATCGTATCACACACTGGGCTTGAATTCCTGGCATTTCAAAATGCTTCCGCGAAATAAAGTCCGTTTGAAATGTGGCCCTGTGACATTGTTCGTTTTGATGCTGTGGTATCAGAAAGAATCAAACAACAGGGAATTCCATGTTGGTAATGTCAGGGGTAAACTCAGTGTTTTCGATATTTTTACGTCTGTAAAGTTTGAAAACCAGGAAAACAAACGAAACAGTATCTTAACGGAAAACAAATTGTATTATTGTATCGTTTAATTTCATCACATCTTTTTCCATCTGGTCATTTTGGTATCGATATGTCATTATCATACTGATTATTCCTGTCATAATTTGACAGATCATGAGTAACCGTGTTCTGTCATGTCATTTGTTTTGTTTTCATATCTTTATGACTGAATAGAAGTATAAAATGTATAATTGTGAAGAACTGGTGATAACGCAGTGAACAGCTTTCGCGTAACGGTAGGTTTCTGCAGATCTTGTTCATGAAGGTAACTGTCATAGAAACCATTATTGTGTCTGTAACAGGAGGGGCCTGCTTCTAATACAAAGTAGTAGTGTTGGCCGAATGTTCTCAAAATTTTAAATGATGCGATAAATTACCCAATGTGATGGCTGGACCGACAAGATACTCCCATGTTTGCTAAATAGAAAATGACATCGGCAAGTATCACCGAAAGGAAGGTTCGAAGCCAAATGTATGTTACTTCACATACATGGGGGTTGTGGCTGGCGCAATAATATAAATAGTACCTATCACAACTACTAGTATTAATCATTGCGCACTATTTGGAATATATGGTTATGTCAATGAATGTTATAGTTCCATGTATAAGAAAAACGTTATTGGGAAATTGCAACTGACAACTAACTGCCATCGAATGACAAGAAGCTAACGACAAATGCAAGATACAAATGACAGGAATAAGTTAATGTCAACTTGTAAGTGGCATGTTTGTCCCAGAATCGGGTTTTTTTTTTTTTTTTTTTTTGGGGGGGGGGGGGGGGGGGGGGGGGGTGGGTGTGCGTGTGTGTTTGTGTGTGTGTGTGTGTGTGTGTGTTTGTGTGTGTTTTTTGGTGTGTGTGTGTGTGTGTGTGTGTGTGTGTGTGTGTGAGAGAGAGAGAGAGAGAGAGAGGGTGTGGGTGTGTGTGTGTATGTGTGGGTGAGGGTGTGGGTGTGTGTTTTTTCTGTTTTTGTGTTTGTTTTTATGACGAGTTCTTTTATTGTAAAAGAGTTAATACCTGTATATACGACATAATGTTTCATCATATTGTAAAATTAAAAACCTAAATGGTTATGTGACATTTTTGCCTATTCACTTCGTTGTTTGTGTAAATATGTTTTTTTGGATTAAACATATTTTATTGGTATCAAATACACAGGTAGGATTGGGCAAATATGTAATCAAATGCCTATCCTACACATATATTTTAAAATGAGACAAACAATTCTTTCCGTAAACACATAATTTGTATTCAATAAAAAAAAAGTGTGTTACAGACTGAGCCTGGGCTAAATATGAAAAAGAGAGATTTACTCTAAGGTATTTGAGCAAGTTAGGAATTAAGAGAACAAAGACAGAATGTTTCTGAAGGCTACATGTCTTTAGCCTCATCGACAGCACGTGGTGGAAAGTCAGTAAATCCAGGTATTGACTGGTTATCATTTGTAAGTTAATCACCAGGCAGACTGACCTAACGAGAATCCAACGCGTCGGACTTTATATCGTTCAAGTGATATCATGATAACGACCATTATTTCTCTGATAGAAATTCTCCGCTGTTCTTTGATAGTTCTGACAGGATGACGGATTGTCAAAAATCACTAGCAATATGTCGAAGTATAGAATTTCCATTATTTTCTAAAAATTGATCAATAGCGAAAACTCACGTGGTTGAGTATATGACTCCGTATATTTATATCTACGGCGTGTATTGGTCAGCGGTCGTCTTCAGAAAGATTGCAATGTCCGGTTATATGTCGTAAAATACTATACAATTTCTATGACATGGTGAAGATTTTTTTTAAGTTTTTGATTTAAAAAAAAACATGATGAAGTGCATAGAAAACAAGGGAACACATAAAAAAGATTAATATTTTCATAGGCAATGGTCCGTAACATGACTAAGGAGCATGTGCATTGTATGAAATGATAAAAGATAGTAGCCATTGTATCAGTTCATATTGAAATGTGCAGTCAAACCATAATTTTTGTTAAAACAAACAGTACATATACGTTTTTAAAGTACATTATTGATACGTTAAGTGCACGCACATTTGCGTGATGCTATCATTGCACGTGTTCACTACTAAAGGACACCTACCTGTGTTCCGGACTTGCGAGGATAATGCCTCCCATTACTGCAAATAATCCAACTATGGCTGCCGTCAGGCATACCAGCAGGTACAAAAATTTCTGGTAGCGGCCAAACTCTCCAAGTTTCTTGGTGATTTCATCAAAGTCCATGTCTAACGTTTATGTTTACGTGAAGTGCAGTTTAGCAGTGCTGTCGTCTAACTGAGCTGGTCTATTGTTATGACGATGTTTTTATCTCACTCCAACGCTTCTTGATAAGATTTAGTCAGTCCACTGCCTGTGAAACAGCCATCACGCTAGTAAATATTGACACACTTAGCTTTAACTTAGTGTTCGTTGACCAAAACATGAATGGTAGATCAGATTCTATGTAATTAATTCTTTTGATTGTCATTTATAAGTTATCTAGTAAGCCATATTTGATATTTTTATAATGTTTCTGACGGAAATGATTATATGCGCGTCTATTGACCGCTTGACCACTGGTCTCCTATCTGATCGACATTTGCTACCAATTGTATCATACTGTATATCATTCCCTAGTGTCTAGACATGTAAATAGTGTAAGCATTGGCGTAAACAGGAATATTATTAATTTAACCAACTTTAATTCTAAAAAAAGTGATATGTCAAATCGAGGTTATCTTATCCCAACGAGTAATCTCGACATATCACTGCTTCTGACATCATTAACTGGATTGATCATTATAATTTATCAGCAAAATCTGGAGAATGTTTCAATCATTTATTGAATGTTCATACAAATACTTTCATAATCGTTTACATAATGGGATTTTATCTCTAATGGAATACATGTGTCGGTCATTATGGCCATTGATTGGCGGCCATATCTGCTCCACATCATTTCATTGGTTAAACTTTTTTAGTGACTGTTCTCCAAGAAGAAAACGTTCTTTAATATGGTGCGACTCATGGTACTGTCACACCATGGAAACATTAACGCACAAATCTGTGTCTGTTTGATGGTTAAAGAAAAAACACATTGGCCTTTCCTGGGAGAAGATCGACAATACAGGTAGGCAGTGCTCTTCTTCAGGGATGATGTTTTAAGATGATTGTTAAACATTTATTGTTCGTCTATCAATTATCCATACACAAGTTAATAGTTATGCTACATATTAATTTTCAGACAAATTCTACCTGAAAATATATCTGTACATCCGATCGTTATTCAGCGATGTTGGAGGCGATATCAGGTTATTACTTTTCATTATTGTTGAATATTTTTATCAATTTTATTTTTTAACCCAATCTGAATGAACTTGAATAAAGCTAGTGATATTACTGGGGCGATGGTATTGCTCAGACAGACTATAGTTCCCTTGAAGACTGTAACATTATTATTGAATGCACGTGATGCACGGACGAAATCACTGCTGAATTACTAGTGATACTCTACATCTGTCATTTGTTTTACGTAACAAAGTGACCATTCTGTGGTACCAATCAGTTAGATAAATACTGTAGCATGGAGACTTACAGCTACAGAAACAAACTATAGGTAATATGTACAATTTGTCACTGCTCACTAACTAAATCACTGACAACTCTTTGCAATGACACAGTTTTTGGTGACAATCTCATTAACCTTTTGACCGATCACGAATTCGAAGTTTTCTAGTAGGTTTTCTTTTGAACCCTTTTGAAATACAAAATGTATAATGGACTCTTAGAATAATGACAAAGCGTTATATGGATACAAACAGATAAAAAAAAAACCCAATTCAACTCCTGTAGTGTGGGAGATAATCTGTACATATCTTGTATTGGGGTATAATAAATACACATCGTGTAGTGAGGGAGATAATCAGTACATATCTTGTAATGGGGGTATAATAAATACACATCGTGTAGTGAGGGAGATAATCAGTACATATCTTGTAATGGGGGTATAATAAATACACATCGTGTAGTGAGGGAGATAATCAGTACATATCTTGTATTGGAGGTATAATAAATACACATCGTGTAGTGTGGGAGATAATCAGTACATATCTTGTAGTGAGGTATAATAAATACACATCGTGTAGTGAGGGAGATAATCAGTACATATCTTGTATTGGGGTATAATAAATACACACCGTGTAGTGAGGGAGATAATCAGTACATATCTTGTATTGGAGGTATAATAAATACACATCGTGTAGTGAGGGAGATAATCAGTACATATCTTGTAGTGGGGGTATAATAAATACACATCGTGTAGTGAGGGAGATAATCAGTACATATCTTGTAGTGAGGTATAATAAATACACACCGTGTAGTGAGGGAGATAATCAGTACATATCTTGTATTGGGGTATAAAAAATACACATCGTGTAGTGTGGGAGATAATCAGTACATATCTTGTAGTGGGGGTATAATAAATAAACATCGTGGAGTGTGGGAGATAATCAGTACATATCTTGTATTGGGGGTATAATAAATACACACCGTGTAGTGAGGGAGATAATCAGTACATATCTTGTAGTGGGGGTATAATAAATACACACCGTGTTGTGAGGGACATAATCAGTACATATCTTGTAGTGAGGTATAATAAATACACACCGTGTAGTGAGGTAGATAATCAGTTCATATCTTGTAATGGGGGTATAATAAATACACATCGTGTAGTGAGGGAGATAATCAGTACATATCTTGTATTGGGGGTATAATAAATACACATCGTGTAGTTAGGGACATAATCAGTACATAACAACAGACGTTTCTACATCAGCTGCTTGTCTCGATGTTTTTTTACAACGAAACCAACATCGAAAGTATTCCATAAAGCTGTATTATATACGTGGTGATTTCAGTTCCCCTATTGTAAATTTTCCATTTTCTGGATAGCATTATCTCTGCACCTTCAACTTTGGTATTGACATGTCATAGGAGATTCGATATTCAAGGGCCTGTTCCAATTACCACGATTTTTGTGCAAGAGGTCGTCAACTGACTGACAAACTCGTAACACAAGGGTTCAATGATGCAGATTGATGAAAATTATAGGAAAGGTTTATAGTCGCCATAATGATCTCATTGATAAATATTCTATTTCTTTTTTGCGGAGCTGAATGTAATTGATGCTTTGTCTATTGGTTCCGTTGTTGTATACCTTGTTTCAGTTGAGAACGTGACATTACTTGGATGGACAAAGATTTACATGGCGGATGTCGTCGATGAAGCAGAAGACGCTTACTCTTTTGGAACACATGATCTTATTCTCCTTGTACTTTTTAGGAATCACCGTGTAAATCTTTCTTTTGTTCATATTTTGCCCTAGTTTTATTGAATCTGAGTTGGAATTATGCTTATGTGCTATGTTGGTATTTTCTTGATGTTTGTTGCAAGATTCAACCATATAAGGTATGAAAACTTGTGTTTAGGATAAAAGTATAGAAGGATGACATACATACATACATACATACATACATACATACATACATACATACATACATACATACATACATACCATACATACATACATACATACATACATAGACTATGTAATAAATAAACCTGTCCTAGTAAGACCAACGTTTGACCCCGTCATAAAACTGGTGAAATTATATTCCTAACTTTCGGGTGCATAGTGTAATACTATACTCTAAATCATGGCACTTTCTTGTTACGTTAGTTATTTCATTACTGATTTCTTGATAATAAAGATGAGATTAAATTGTATACGTACTTTTTTTTTATATAATACACAGGTAGTTCAGAAATACTGTTAACTGTTAACTGTAGTTGTGATACAATTTCTCAAGATTGACAAGTTAATATATATATAACTTTTAACAGTTACTAGACCGTGTAATCTTAACCAAACAAATAACTTATTGATTTTACAATTTGTCCATTACACTGATTTGCCCACATCACAATTAAATCTTTATTGTAAGTTATTTGTAGTACCCCAGTACTCCATGAGTGTGTGTCGGGGTGCTCATCTTACCTCAAAACTTGTTCAAAATCCATAATAAATGATTAAATTGGGTCAAACCCTCTCCGTTAAAGTCTGCTGTCTGTAGCCTGGATATCGGATTTCACAATTTAGGCTAATCAAAAGAAACTACCAGGTTTGTTATGTTAAATTTAATTACAAAAACAAACTTCTGTTAACAATGTTATAACCTGGCGGTCTTGTTAAAGCATGTAATCACCTCATGGAGAGTCAATATAGTGAGAACCTGATGGTGTAATCGTTTGTAGTTGGCCTCTTCTGAGAATCATTGAACTGAAGTCATGATGGTGTAACCATTTATAGATTGCCTCTTCTGAGAATCATTGAACTGAAGTCATGATAGTGTAACCCTTTATAGATGGCCTCTTCTGAGAATCATTGGACTGTATACCTGATGGTGTAGCCCTTTATAGATGGCTCTTCTGAGAATCATTGAACTGTTCCATAGCAAAACCTTTGTTGTCTCTTCCTTCTTTTTTCAATGAATCATAGTTCGATCTGAAAATTGCGAAGAAATATCAGACATGTCATAAAAAAAAAAAAAAAATCTGTAAAGTTTCGTTATAAATATCACAGAAATTATTCCTTATTTGATAAGCCATATGAATTATCAGAGTAAATATTCCTTATCTAATAATCCATTAATGATCTTAGAATAAGTATTTATGATTTCATAATCCCTTATTTATTATCTAATAATCCTAATAATCCATTAATTATTTTAGAATAAGAATTTAGTATCTAATAATCATTTAATCGTTTTAGAATAAGTATTAATTATCTAATAATTTATTAATGATCTCGGACTAAGCATGTTTTATGTAATGATCCTTAAAGATTGTCAGATTAACGATTCATTCCCTGATTAACCATGCAGGACATCAGATAAAGATATGATTAATTTAATGATCTGTTAAGGATATCAAAATGAGTATTTGCTAACTAATAATCCAATAAGTAAATTTCATTTCCAGAACAAGCATTTGCTATCTTTCGAGAATGTCAAAATAAGTATTTATTTCGAAGAAGGAAAAATCTGTGTTTCCAGTTTCTGCATGAAAAACGATCGGTAGGTCAGGATTGTAAAAACAAATAATGTTTGCTTGCTTTTCAAGTACATCATCGATTAGGAAAAGGTTGGTTTACACCCACGTGTCATGCATGTTTTAGCTTCGCACGTGTTATTTAAAAGATGTCTTTAATACTGATAGGCAGACAATGTAAAACAGCACATGGTAGAATGACCAATATTCGAACACAAAAGATTTTTTTTTTTTTTTACATTTAAATCTTAATAATTGTCATTGACTTAAATTTACATTGTGTAATCTTAGGAGAGTCATGTAAGGAACATTTCGAGCTGCATTAAAATCACACGAATCTGTTGTTACGTTTTCGGCCGTGGGTGAAACGTCACTGGCGCGGTATAGTGACGGATATCGAAGGAATCCTAATCTATTCGCGAGCACTCCATCAAATAATCAAATATTTACAATGTTGTAGTGTCGCTCTATAGAATAATATTTGAACCTCTTCTACACATATTCGACAAAAGAAAATATTTCAATTTTGTTGTATAAATGCACTAGCATACGCTTCTATGGGAGAAATGAGAACTAATATTTTGGTTTGTTCTGTATTTTTTGTAAAATTTGTCATATCCACTTTTCTTCTAAAGATGTACTCTTCTGAGAGGTAAAAAATCCGGTGTTAAACTTTTTCTCTGTTTATGATTTTTTGAAAGGTTTTATTTAAGAAAATATATTTTACCGCACTTCTTTTTCCAGTACAGGCGTCAGAATATTTGTTACAGGAAACAATTCATTTCAATATATTATTTTTATCATATACAGAATATCAAGTATTCTCTTTTATTTTTGTGACAATCTTTTTAAAATAAATTTTCGTTTTTCATTGCAAAGTAAGGGTATGATACATAGAGAAAGTTTGGGATACTTTTCATGATTAAAAAGTAGGATGTCTCTGTTTTATTTTTTGCAATTCTCAAGGGGTTTTTCAAGATTAAGAAGTCAGCTGAAATATTTATTTTCGAGTCCTAAAAGTGCGGGAAAGTGGTCACAAAGTCGGAATTGACAAATTTGAAATCTGTAATTCACTCAAAATGGAACAGAAATCTACCAAAAAAATCCAGAGTTATACTTAGCAACCAGAAAACGCTGAATTGTTGATGCTATTAACCTATCCACATCATCAACTATGCCGTCAAAAACTGTAGCTAGATGGCTTCAAAACGTCATGTAAATCGCCCTTGTTCAATCAATTAGAACAGCAATAAATGACAAAATATAAAAGATATCAGATAATTATAAAAGACAAAAAATCCAAGATATTAATTTGGAATTTGTTTTATATTTATTTATGTCTCATATATAATTATGCTTCATATTTAGTTATGCCTTTTATTCTATCAAAACATCAGAGTAGTACTTCCTTGAGTAAGATATCTTTTTATAAGAAGTTGAAAATTGCCTACATCCCACAGTATCCATGCATCTTGAGTGGAAAAATCGGTCGGTTTAACGAATGAGAACCATAAATGAAATAAGCGTTCGAGCACTGTTGTAGTCGAGCAATGGTCAGATTATTTTGACCACATAGATTAGTCTGATTAGTTTCACAAATACTCATCTGGTTGTGGTGTTCATGGAGAAAGAGAAGTAGAATCAAGGTATGCATTAGAAATAAGTTGAATACTTCATAAATATGATTTTATGTACACCGACCGAAATATGAAAACTAACGCCCAGTTACTTTGGTGGTCTGGCAATCGTTATCTTCTCAGAAAGGATATTGAGAGAATAATTGATGTCGGTCTGTTAAAAGATATAGGTCAAATGTCTAAGCGAATTAGCCTCAGGGTACTGAAATGTTTTGGACGTCAGCAAGTAATTAATTAGCAAAAACAAGTTTAAGAAAAAAGTGTCGGTAGTATGAATTTATGGACAAGTGGGAAACCGGAAACACGCATTCAGTTCCTTCTTTCATTTTCGTGAAATAAAAGTAATTCCTTTCCAATATATATAACCCGATGAACAGCATTTTCTTTAAAATAAATGTTGATGATTAAGTTAGACAACAATAAATATAAATATAGAGAAAGTTTTTTTTCAAAGACAAATCATGATTGAATCAAGTTTTAAATAATTCCAGTACAAAATTAACGAGAGAGATAAACAGATGACTTTTTAACAAATCATGTCTCACTTACGTTCCAAATTGTTTACCCTCTTCAATAGTATCAGGTAGGTCTTTGTTTATTGTCTCTGGTAGGAGGAGGGCAATTAACCCAGCCACAACGGACGCTGAACCAAATGTAATCAAAGGCACTGCCTTTCCGAGCGTCCCTCCTATGTCAGCAGCCTGTTATAGATACAAGTTGTAAAGGTCTTAACACCTGCTTTAATTTATATTGTTAAAATTACTAGCAAAAAAATCAATTGAGATCGAAATCCTTAATGTAAATTATTGCGGAAATCATTCTCCAAAGTAAAACCCAAACTCCATCTTACACCCGTGCTGATCAACAGAACCGTGAAAGATATACGACTATTTCGTGCACATCCAGAAAAAAGAAACAAAGAAATATGACACCACACTAGAGACTACTTAACATATATTGAGTGTGAATATCACGAGAGAAATATTATTGTCGGATCAAATGTCTTCCAGTGTGTGTTCTTGACGTTTTTACGAAATATCTGTTCCAATTATTTCTTATCAGGTCATCCAATGTTATGATGCACCCTGTACTAATGTGATTAAACACAGCGTTGTTTACTGTTGTGAAGAGTGACTTCTGATATAAATATTTATATATATCATTATCCATGGTCAGTTATTTGTAATGTGAACTTATAAACCTTTACACCATACCTTAAACTACAAAATCTACCTCATGTTGTCTGATCATAATTAAACATTTTCTAGCTTTTTTACCTGGTGGCACGACCCAAATTGAATAGGTACACAGAACGGATTAGAAATGTGTAGTTTGAAATGTGTAGTTGTACAGTTTTACATTCACTTAGAAAATGAATGTTTCATCAAATGAAACATTTCATTACAACCAATGTACTTTTTTAAAATCGGTGTGTGCTAGATCAAAATATCTTTTGTTCGGATATAGACCAAAAAATACACCAGATGGTAATGTATTGTAGTCAACTCGGCTGAGCAGAATGAGATAACGGTACCAGAATTTCCCTGTTGTTGGGCCCTACATCAAAACAGAATTTAATATGGCGATCAATTTTCATCATTTTGTTAGAAATCATCACGAAGGCATCACGGGTACAAGTTAAATGGTCCATATAACATGTAAGAGCCAGCTAACTTGTAATAACCAGAAAGCTTAAGTCGTTATAACAAGAGAACGATTCTTGTAAAGACGAGGTAACGTTAGTCGTAATCACGAGATGATTTTTTTTTAAAAAATTTCTGATGGTACTAATCGGCTTTCGCAATTCCAAATATATAATACGAAAGATGTTTACAATCTTAGGAAAGAAAGAAAAGGTAAAAAAAAAAAATGAAATAAGACGATACAACAAAAATCAAGCCTAACAAAACAAATCAGTTAATGATAATAATTTTTATATAATATTAGGTAAATGAACTAAATACTTTTCTGTCGAGACTACACTAATAGATACTCACCGACGATATGACATATGGGGCTACCATGGATCCAAAACGAGCAAAGCAGGAACAAGCACCCATACCTGCATTCCTCACCACAGTAGGGAACAATTCCGATGACATCAAGTAAATGGTGCCGAAAGCACAACCTGCACCAAGCTTTCCAATCAACACAAGGACGACAGTGAGGGCGTTAAGAGCTAGAAAAAAAATTTATGAGAGCATGCAAAAATAAATGATTTATCATATGGAAACTCGTGGCAATTGTTAATTGAAGACAGAAGAAAAACCTCAAAACATCCGTTTTATATATCCCCTTTAGGTATCCTATGGACCAGCTTGGAGTCTCTATATGATAGTGTTAACTTGTGCACACATGCAGTTTAAGTATTACATTTTACGTTTTCCCCGTGTATAATGTGTATCTGAGTAGCTAAGTGCCTGTTTTTTATGATACTTATTGATATAATGATGTACATGTAACATATTCATATTTCATTTTTATCCTTGAAAACATCCATGCGATGTTGCGTTTATATTTTATGGAACAAGATTTTAAAATAATTTCTGGAATCATTCTATACTTTTCGTTAAAGAAAGGATATCTTAGTATTGTTTGCTGCACTTTTCATGCAATAATATACATGACTGCACTCACATTCGCCGCCATAGGTAGTAGTAAATAATGTTGAGATACATCCAACGCCACCCACGATCATAGAGGTGCAGAACATTTTTTTCCTGCCAATCCGGTTAAGTAACAACAGCAGGAGTATAGTGGTCGGGAAATCAACCAAACCAAGTAACATGAAGTTCAGATAAAAATCGCCACCGATGTTACCTGCATTCAATGCCAAACCGTAAAACGTCATGGAGATCACACACCTGCAACAATTAAATAATATTACTGTTCGTCTGTCTGTCGCGATTGATGGATGGGTTGTCATGAAGTTTAATGCTAAAAGAGTAAACAAACTTGCTAAAATATTCCTAAATAATGGATATAGATCGCGATTTCAGGTTGAACTATTCTTAAATATTGCTTACATATATATACTAAACAAAAAAAGAAAGGTTAACATGTATCCTTGGCGAATACCTGTAAATGAGTGAAAACAAAATGACGTTTGTGCAATATTAGAAAATGGTAATGTTTTGCATAACAAAATCCAAGGGGGTTACCAAAATCATTCAAGCGTGAAAGTCTGTATTAGCGAAAGAGCTGCACGAGGGTTTCTGCGACTAACTTGTATCTTCGCTTGAATTTCATAGACATTCAAACTGACAACTGTTCCTTAGATCCTTAGGACTTAAAAATCACCGAATCTTGCTATCTATCAACTTTATCAATATGTCCCGGCTGTCACAAGTACAGAGAGAAAGGGCTGTAGGCATGATCCAGGCTGGGGAGTCTCGCCGTCGAGTTGTACGGCATTTTGGTTAGTGTTAAGACAATTTGCCAGTTGGTAAGTCGTTTAAACCAAACTGGGTCAACATCCGATCGTCCCCGAAGCGGCCGACACCGTAAAACGACCGCCAGGGATGACTGTCGTATACGATTGATACACTTGCGCAATCGATTCGTAACCGCAGTAGAAACTACAAGGACATTGTTTGGGCGTCGTGTGTCTCCCCAAACAGTCCGCAACAGGTTGAGGGCCTACCAATTGAAAGCGCAGCGTCCCTACACTGGACCCAATTTGTTGCGACGTCACCGTAATAATCGGCGTAACTGGACACTTGTTCACCGTCGTTGGGCCTTACGGCAATGGAACAATGTTTTGTTTTCAGATAAGTCCAGGTTTTGTCTGCAACACGGTGACGGAAGGCGTAGAGTGTTAGATTGGCCATCTAAATCACGTGATTTGTCACCGATTGAGCATGTCTGGGACGCTCTTGGGCGACGCGTGAGAGAACGTCAAAATCAGTCGTCAAACTTGCAGGAGCTGGCCCAAGCCTTGATCGCTGAATGGAACAACATCTCTCCTCGAATTATCCGCCGGTTTACGAGTTCCATGCGACGACGCTGCAATGCTGTTTACTTCGCAAACGGTGGCCATACCCGTTACTAATGGTGTTACCTTTGAAATTGACCCCAACGTCCTTTACAGTCGAATAAAATCAACTGAACGCAAAGTTTTATAATGAACCATGACTGCAATTTTATCAGTATTGATCAATTACTTTATTCGTACATGATTGGTAAGGATTTATGAAGGGGTTCATTAATTAATCACAGAATAAAGTAGTGTTACCTTTCTTTTTTTGTTTAGTATATATATGACACTGAAAGAAAATTACTATTGATTTAATTCCTCATGTCTCTACGAGCTTCGATTGAAAAGACAATGCCTTTCAACTAGCTATTATACATGTAACTTGGCTGCAGAGGCTGTTATTAGAAAATATGGAAGTTAATCCAACAATCTGGATCCACATCCAACCAATGGAGCAATTCAACCTGACTTGTACCGATTTCTTCTGTGTTCAGAGTCTCTACTATTTGGCAAAACATTGTATTCAAAGCTTAATTAAATATTTGTTAAAAGAGGTTTTGTACGAAAATAAAATCAATAACAGTATTCCAAAAGACATGCAAATGTATGCTTTACATAAAATTCGCTTTCAACATACCATTCCAGGAACAATATTAGAGTTCTAATCAATAACACTTTAGAGGTGAAAATGTGCAGGATGTTTCCTCTTTGTTTCTGGTCCTCTTTGTAGTTTAGAGTTGGTGATAAATGTTGACTCATTTTGTTGACCTCTGCTATTCTTTTGATCACTCGCTCAGCTTTCTCCATTTTACCATGATTAAGTAGCCATCTTGGGGATTCAGGAACCAGCCTATATAATATTTTATTTTCGATGTATAACAATGTTAATTCTACATTCTATGCATCAATGTATAACAACGACAATTCTACATTATGTTCTGTATTCTTAAGTATAACAATGTCCATTCTATATTCTTGACTCTAAAGTATAACAACGTTAATTCTACATTCTGAACTTAAAAGTACATTGTCAAGGTCAATTTCTAGAACAAAATGTTCTAAAATACTGAGAAATATCTATTCCATATTCTTTACATAAAACACCAACATGTCAACATAATCATATTAAGTATAATAATGTCAATTCTTCATTTTTTTACTTCAATGTATAACAATATCAATCATACAATGTTTACTTTAAAGTATAAAAGGATAATTATACACCCTTAATTCAAAATACACAACGATGTGTCGTCACCTGGGATGGTATTCAGAACAGCATTATGCAGAAGATAAGAACAAGGTATATTGGAGTAACAATGTATAACAATGACAAGGAAACCAGAAACATACCAATAAGTTACGTAATGTAGGAATGGTGGTATTTGCATGCTTGTGGATATACACAAGAATGATATTTGACTTACCAAATGAAAGATAAAAAGAAAACCGTCGTGCTTCCAGCGACAAGTTCGACATACTGCCAATCACGTAAAAGGTAGCCAAGCCCAGCCACAATCACTTCTCCCGCAGCAAAGAAGAAACCGTTTAACATGGCTGCTCGAACTCTTTTCGTTGGACCAACCAACTCCAAAGCTAACAAAAAAATCACAGAAACGCTCAGGCCATAAGTTTTTAATGTCCTTTGTTTATTGCAAATCTGAATAATCATTTTCATAATGAAAACAATATTAATTATGATTAGGCAGTATGTTTCGAGATTGTGCTTAAAATCTAGAAAACTGAAAACGCTCGGTTAATACAGACACACACGGCCTTTGTTGCTTCCAGCTGTGCTGGAGTTTAAATTAATATTTTGGTATTCCCCATGACGCGCGATCGGTATCATATGTGTCTTGATAAGTAGAACACATTACAGATTGCATGTATGAAATACAAGACATCCTATTGCCTCGTTGAAATTGGTGTAGTCTAATGCCTACGTACTTTGAAAAGGTGGAGGTGGCCTTTTTGGTAAACAATCGTCTTGAAATACGACATTTGGTAATACATTGAATATTGCTTAAAGCAATGTCACGAGCCGTTTCCCAAAAAGATCATGTTTGCACCTATGCCTAATAATGTATTCAATGCTTTTTCAGTAGCATATGTGAAGAAAGTTTTTTGTATATTACGATATAAATGAAATATTAAAAATAACAATACAAATAAAAGTATGATAAAAATTCGATATTGTACGAATGAAGGGACATCGCCGTTTTCTTACTTAATACAAACGTGGTGAGTACTATGCCAGTCGAAGTAGCACCGATGATGAACCGAAGAAATATGTAGACATACAGGTTCGGTGCCCAAGCCAGGGCCACGGAAGTAATCATCTGCAGAAACTGCGCACAGCACATTGAAAACTTCCTCCCGAACCTGTGTTCACAGACAAAACGTAAAAAATATCATATGAAATATAATGTAATTATAAGAAAATAGGAACATTAATAATAATATAATATTAATAATCAAGTAAAATTTGTGTCTATGCTATTTCATGTTTTATGATGACACTAGAAACTATATCATTTCGGCAGTTTAACTAGCTGACGTCAGTACTTCGTTAAGCGGGAAACTTAGACCGACGTATTCTTGGTTTTTGTTTTGTTTTAATTTTCATAGATATTTCAGAAAGGAAATATGAATAAGAAAACTGTAACAAAATGGGATATACATTTGATTTGAAGCCAATCCGGGTTAAAGATAAAAACTCATGGCGTCCTCGCCATTCTATTCATTTTCCACCCGGATTTGCCTCATATCAACTGTATACATATCTAGTAACAGCTTTTTGTTTAAATATTTGCATTTTAAAATGGCTACTCGCGCGCAACATGGTGTTTGTCTGAAAGCCCCCTGTCGTTTATAATGTCATTTCAATGCCTTATCAAGGCATCAAATTAAGTGTATAATTAGTTATTGTCACTATCTCATGATATACAGATCTAAAATAAACGTCATCTAGTTTCGTCGATTTTTTGAACTATTTTGTATTTTTAAAAGTTTAAATGAATTCCAACATAGATATGTCTAAATGTCTAAAAAAAGAATAAGAAATCCAAATAAAGAGGAAAAATGGAACATTTTTACTGTTTGAAACCCTTTACATGGTGACAGAAAATTGTTAACATTCATTTGAACTTGAATATGTAATATCATAACTATCTTACTTGTCCGAAATCATTCCGAAAGTGAAGGACCCGACGAGAACTCCTACAAAGAACAGCATCTTTGTCAAAGACAGTATATCATCATGACGGCAGACAAGGTGGTGCTGAAATAGACCAAAACCAAACAGGTATAATGATATTTATTTATATAATTAACGATATTAATGATATTAATAAGAATGTATGCTTATGGGAACAAACTTCTCTCTTGACTGACTTATTCTTATACGAAGAGCTTGTCAAAACAGGTCACAAAAACTTTCGAAAGTCATTTGATTTCACTCTCAGAAAAGTTGATGGTGTCTTGTCTTTAAATATTAACACCATGACCATCATATATCGCCACCAGAATTCGAAATCAAAGACACCGACAAACTCTTCTACGTTAGCCTCTGACCTACAAGCTGCAATATAAGCATGATGATTTTAATATCTCTGTCGTGAATTTCACATTTCCATGTATCAATATCCGTGCATCCAAAATCTATGGTGTTAACCTGTGTTAGTTGATTCGATATTCAAAAACGTGTTAATCGCAACAGATGGTTTCGAGAGATGCATATTGATGAAGATCATGGGGTCTTGTTTTTACTGTCATCGTAATGATCTCATTGAAAAAATATTCTGTATCTGTATATAACTATAACAATCACAAATATCGGATTTGAAATTCATTCTGGTTTGGTGGACACGACAATAAATACTTCCGTTTGTTACTTGATCTGGGAAAAATATCTTTTGGTGAAAATTTTAAATAATTAAAGCGTAGCTACCTCTTTTTTGCAAATTATGAAAACTATACCCTAAGGTTTCTCAATAAAAATAGAAACATCTGTATAATGTTCAGTATTTAAACATCTTTTGCTATGCAGTTTTAAGGTGTAAAATCACACAAGACATTTCAGCATTTTCACATTTTTAAAAATCATTCTACTCAGTTTCATAACATTTTAATGAAAGGAGTAATTGATTGCGGAAAGCATTTTATTTCGAGGTTAAATCTTGCTCACTAAATTCAATGGTACTATAATCTATGTTGACTTTTATCAGCTGATAAATGTTGATCATTTCGTGGAAATATGAATTTGTGGATCTAGAGTACCCACGAATTACATAAAAAGAACCCCTCATTGAAAGTAAATGAGTTTACAGGAGCAAGTTTTTATAGTATAGACAAATCTAAAGAAGATATCACTAGGTGATAGAATTGTGATGGACTTCAACCAAAACATCTAAGATTTTTTTCTCAGTGTACCTTTATATCTATAGCTGGTGTCGTTATTACTTTCAAGTTTAAAACCAGTCTTATTTTTTCTCAACGTGACAAAGCGACTTCGTGATATGATAAAGTACAAAATCTGTATTGTTCAATAAAGTTTTGGAATGATATAAAGAAGATAGGTTGTCCTTACTTCAAAAAAACAAACAATTTATTTTCAGATAATAGTCATGTGCTTTTCAAGTATAAAGGCTATAAAGTAAAGACATGTGAACTTAAACTCAAAAGGTTAAGAATCAGAACATCGACCAAAATAAAAGGTGGATCCCCATGGACCAGTCACATTTCAAAACTAAAATGAGAAACTTCATTTCCTAGTCGGATAGAATGTTGAATCAATCCTTAATATGTTTTGAGAATGATTCTCGAAGATGTTCTCAGGAAAACATGGAAATGTTTCACAGGCATTTTTTCATCGGATAAGGAACGAATCGTACTTGTCATGAATACATGCTATTACTGTCGTCTTTTGCATCTAGTTCCACTTAACTTCTTCTAAATTAACAATACGATTCCCTTAATTAATCAAACTATATATATGGTACCTACCTTCGTTACAAACGTTTCAGTAAATACTGATTGGCTGTACACCCAGCTGTCACATTCAACGATCGTTCTATTTCCAATAAAAGTATTGTTGTAACTGTTGGTGTCATTGTAGACGTGGCACTGGTCGTAGTCTTTTGTACTGTCTGTTGATTTAGGTATATAATTGTCAACCATTGTCTGATGTTCTGGACTCTGTATGGTGTAGGTATCGCCGCTATATCCAGGTATCTTGCATCTAAAAGTTGTGCATAGTGTTAAACGGTGTGATTTCAGACTCCTTTGCGATTTGGAGACTTTTTTTGTCTTTGCAAACTGTTATCCTGTGAATTGTATTCATAAAGCATCCAGAAATATAATAATGATTTGAAATAACGCCATGTTTTTTTCAAATATTTTACAAATAAAGGATAACATCTTGATAGCAAATTCATCCATAGAAGAGAATAGCATGTACAGGTAGGAAACATCAAAACTTTTTAAGTAAATAGCAAGTGAGTTAACGGATTACACACCTGTGTTCTGGTACTCCGAGCAGTATTACAGATATCACCATAAATATTCCGGCGTGGATGTGAGGGAGACATAGCAAAACAACCTGGATTTTCTGATATTTTCCAAAACTACCAATGGTCTCGATAATTTCATCGAAATTCATCTTTTCGTTGGTAATTCGTTATATGTTCGTTCGTCTTTCCTTGACAGGAGGTATTTATCTATATATATATATAACATCCAAGTAGACGGATCAAGTGGTCATCAGGTGACATTGTTTACCTATACCTTCATCTCTATGGTAGGATGCCAACAGGGTATATTGTAACCAATGATAACAGCTTAGATTATCAAAATCAGTTTATAAATATATTTATCATATGAAACGTTCTACAACGTTCTAAATTGTAACATCAATAAAAAAGTCACGATTGCAGTTTTATTGAATCGCATCTATAATTCCCGGTTGCAAAGAATGGAATTCTAAAATAATCTTAATATTAAATCAACTTGGCCGGGCATGTGACAAAATCTACTTTCACGTTCGACTAGTGTATCGAACCCTTTTCTGTAAAGTTAACTCGTTTTCGACCTAGTAGCAGCCCAATTAATTTTGAACTTTAATTTTTAATTTAGGACTTTATTGGTGTAAGCGTTTATTCTTCATCGTTAATGAGAGTTATGTTTACGATATTTCAATATTTGCATTAAGCTATGTTAACGTGTGTTTTATTCTATGCTTTTCTTATGTATATTTAGCCTAATAAAGGTTTATCAGTGTTTTAGTCTAATCTTAATTTATTCACTAGTGTGTCTGTTGTACAATCTTTATGTGCGCGTTTTGTCAAACATACTTATCTATGGTTTGTTCTCAGATAAGTTCATCCGAATTCATATTGTGATAAAACCTATATTAATATTAAATTCATGATAAGCGTTTTTGGTGATTTTTTTTAATACATTCACGTGTTTTAGGTTTTTATATTGTCATTCTAATCCACGATATAAGTGTGTAATTGTTTATACGACAAAAGGGTCTTGTACAACGTATTATCAGCTCAGGTCGTATTTACCTACATTGTTTTGTAGATATATGTTACAATGTTTGTCATATCTGTCTTTGCCCTTCTGTATATGTCGACTGCTTTTCAAGCTCACTTTAATACATGCATCATAACGGAATTATCTCAATACATCATGATATTGCTCTTTGCTTGCTAAATACTTCCATGTATTTTTTATATGAGACATTTGAATCGATATAACGTCAAAGTATGCTGGCATGAAGATGTGTTGTATCAGTTGGTTGGGTATTTATCATGTAGCTACCATGAAATGTACAACCTTGACAATGACGTACATAAAATCGTGTCACGTCATTCAACAGGAGTCTAGCCGCTGGTGATATACATCCAAGTTTTAACTTTGATGTGCCTTTACCTATCAGTCTGTCGTTGTGTTGGCGATTGAGTTTTTTTAGGGCTTTTGATAGGAGAACGGTGGTACAAATATATGGTTGAGAGTTATACTCTCATGAAAAATACGACCAAATCAATGAAGAAATATTTGGAGGACGAAATCATAAAAATCATCAAAGGGCCGGTTTCCAAAACGGCCCCTTCTCTGATTCAAATTTCCTGTTGGTGGTGCATTGCCCATGCCGTTGTGGTCACAAATCTATAAAGTATAAAGATTTAGGTCACTTGGTTTGTTTTTTATGGCTCCTCAAAGTTGTACCTTTCAGAAGCTGTCTAAGTGTTGATAAAATGTGCATGTTATGTAAAATATTAATGAAAATCTAATCAAATGATAGTCACCGTAAAGAATACATTCATGGCATGATTGTGACAAAAAATCATGTTTCCATCGCGCCATTTGGCTGTTTTATGGAAGAAACAATCTCAAAAATGCCATTTTCGATGATAACATTTTAGACACAAAAACTGTGTTTTTTAGAGAATACACCCTTTTATGGGCGTTGGATGCAAACCAATTTTTATCCTATTAAATAGTACGTAATATGCTATTGATGAGAGAAAAAATCATCAAAATGTAAGTGGTGGAACATTTTCAAATGTTGGGTTGAATTAGCCTATGGTTGAATTGCCGATTTTCGACTTTCTTTAGATAATTTACAAAAAAAACGAGAGTATTTGCTCGGTATGTTGAGAATATGTACACAGATATGAAAAAAAGTGAGAGAAACACTTTTTCATAAAAAAAATCCAACATGGCTACTTCGCAAGTCCCCGTGGTTGAAGACATTGGCTGACAAATAGACAGAACAACAAACAAAACGTGTTCCTTATGATTTTGGTTGGTTTTCGCAATTACGGGAGTGTTCATAGCTACGGGCGATTGTATAATACCTATATTTAGTTTGGTTAGTCACATGGTAACGGGGATCTTTCATATCGAGCCCCAAACATACTTTCGACATATGCGCGTTGTTGCCGCATGAAAAACTATTTCAAGTTTTGTCGGAATTTCTTTACCTGTGGTTGTAATGGTCGAGGGTTTTCCAGCGTCCTGTAATACCCAAGGTAGTACAAGATACTCATTTCCCCTTTTCTTTCAATTTACAACCGCATTCAGGCGGCGATATGAGAACGTTCCACCACATGGAATTAGCTGATTTTTGGTACACATATGAAACAAGTGAAGCTCTATCCGATTTTCTGATGGAAATTTGCATTCAAAACTATAACGGGAGAAAATTGCAAATTTATGGCATTTCTCTTCATAATTGTGTCTCTGCAAGTGCATTTTCATCCGAGAATATTTTTTTTATGTTTTATGAATTAACACGATGTTTTGGAAATATCTATCAAAAGAAATTTATACTATGTTGCGAATTACAATTTCGAGATAACCTTCTTTTATTTACAAACTTATGTCTTTGATGCTGAAATTGACAACTTTATAAAAATACATTTTCACTGAAATTATGAAATCTGGGTGTCGGAAAGGTGTAAAATTATTTTTCGGAAAAGAAAAAAACAGTAGTTGAGCAAGATAAGAAATTATACGGGGGCAGGCTCCTATGGAGAATTAACATTACTGGAAACAGGCCCTTTCCGGTCTTCGTCGAGTGTGGTACGGCATACCTATAGGAACAAACTGTAATACTCTGTTGGGGGAATTGTTTTTGTTTTCATACAAGGATGAAGTTATCAAAACAGGTCACAAAGACCCTACAAAGTCGTTTACTTTTACTTTCAGATGTATTGATGGGGTTTTGTCTTAAATAACAAGAAATTTATTATGTTGATGAAAGTTGATGAAAATTTGGGAACGTTTTACGGTCGTGATCGTGGTTTCTTTGAGAAATATTCTTTTTCTTTGTGCGGAATGAAGTTGAACGTGTTTGATTCTCGTTAGTTTGCCTGTTGGTTCTGTTGTTGTATACCTTGTTCTCATATGACAATGTGACGTTACTTAATTGGAGTGGCCAAGGTTTACATGGCGGGTTTCGTCGATGAAGCAGAAGACGCTAATCTTCCAGAATACCTCGTCATATTCTCATTTCATGTAAATCTTTCATTAGTTCATGTATTGCCCAGGATTTATTGAATCTGAGTTTGGATTTTGATTATTTAAACATGCTGGTATTATCTTGTTGTTTTTGTCTCTTTTTTTGTCTTATACCATATAAAAGTACCAGTTTATTCCTACGAGAATGTACCTGTGTATCTGAAAATGTATTTCATAGTAGTACTGGTGCTTAGTATGTCGTTCTGTAATTTATTTGCTGGTTTGTTTTTTTTGGCTACGGCAAAAACGGGATAACCTTAAATTAGTAGACAAAATGTAGTATAACCATCAAACAGCTACCATCTGTTATATTAAGCATCAACAAATTTCATGCGAAAAGGATAAGCAATGTTTAAGAATTTCTTAAATTGCTTTATTTTCACGCGCAGAAACAAAAATGTTTTTAATAAAACTGTTCTTTCAGGAATCCTTAACGCGATTTGATAGCGTTTATCGGGTATAGTTCTTTCCATCAGTTTAATTTGCTTTCAGATTTTCATTTGACACCTGGTGTTTTCCATTTGCTCCGGTTGTAATGCTATTGACTGTGTCTGAGGATATCACCAAATTGGCAGTAGATGTTCCCCTCAGTTTTCTGTAAGAGTCAATCATGTTGTGTTGATATATAAGCCGCCTGTTATCCAGATAGTTCACGTATGTAAAAATATAAAATTGTGAACAATGATGCAACAAAATGACTGCTAACGTTTGATTTTATCATTTTTACTTTAAAACATACCAAAATTTAACTAGTTAAATGGTAAAAAGTGTCTTAAATTTGTTCCATATGAGATCTTATGAGACTTACCAAGAAGTTTTATTTTCTAACTTGCCAAGGCTCCCAATGTAAAAAAAAATCTAAGACTTGGTTCAAGAGATCTAATATGAAACAAATGCATGTAAGATTCTATGACACTTGACCTGACACAGCATTAATTTTGATCTGTCTACGTAAATGGCATAACTTATATTATATAATACTTACATGTGACATAGCATGCTTTATTTCAACTTACTGGTGTATTTGCAAAACAAGCTATCAGCTTATATCAAACACTCTGTTGGGCATCATTGATGCAAGCGAAGGGGAAACCATACCACCAGGAGACACCCCACACATAGATTATTACAGTTCCCTTGGACCAGAATAAGTATTAAGACTAGATATGTAGAAGATAGAGTGCGGACAATCATTTTAATTAAGGTCCATATGTAGATCACAATGAGCACTATTTTACATGCAACTCGCCGTCTTACCAACATGAACCCATATAAGGTTCCTTGATTACTAGTGTGAAAGACAAGGGCGATAACAAACGTTTGCCTTGGTGTTGGGAAAAACTTCCTAATATAGGTCAGAGTGACCTACTTTTCAGACTCGTTACATCGTCCCTGCAAGGTAAATCCATATTCCAAGCATAAATATTCCATGATTAATAGTGTAGGGGATAAAGTCCAAACTTTAGTGTAGGTCAAAGGTGAAATTATAGGTCAGAGTGACCTACTTTTGATACACGACGCACCGTCTCACCGAAGTGAACCCATATATGAAGTATTAAGTTCCCGGGATTACTTGTAAAAGATAAGGTGTGGACAAGGAAGCGTGTGGGCGGAAGGATGGACAGACAAAACTCAAAACTA